TTTTAAAAATAATTTTCTACTCCTTTACAAATTTTTTTGAATGAGTCCAGAAAGACAAGTCCTCAGTAAAGTTCCCACAGACTGCCCACAGTGGGCCGTCTGCCCAGGGTCTGGGTACACATACTGCACATAGATATTTGAAGCACCTACTAAATGCAAGTGAACTAATAACCTGAGAGCAGAGAAAAGTTCTAAGCTCTGGACTTTGATTCTGTTCCAGGAGTCAGAAGGCCCCCAGATGTCTTTTAGGTAGGGAACTGGGGCTCCACAGGTGACATCCTTCCTGAATCCTCCAGGTATGCAGGCTCTGCCCTAATTGTGAGGAGGATGAGGAAGATAAGAAGTGAGCTTTACAACATGAGAAAGAAAGGCTTGGGCTTTGCAGGCTGGGCAGACTTGGGTACCAAGGGTGAGTGACGGCCGATACTAGGGGCTCACGCTCCACATTTTTACCACCATACTGACGTCTAAGCATTGACTGGAGGGTGAAAAGAATCGCATGGGCACCATCCTTGCAAGTGGGGATGTGGAGAAAGCCTGTGGCCTCCGGTGGCCCTCTGAGACTGTACCCTCATCTCAGTCCATGGCATGAAGGCTCGCTCAGCTGTGCTCCATTAGCTCCCTGCTGGACCTCTCAGCCCTGCTCATTGTACCCGTATGGCCAAGGGCTGGATAGCCTCTCCTTTGCAGTCTCACATGCACGGAGTCTTGGGAGGGGTGGCAAAGGAAAGTCTAGGTCACTAAGTGTCCTGTATGTCCAGTTCCAGACATATGGATTTGAGTTCCCTGAGGACTTTTAGGAAGACCTACTTAATATTGAATATGTCCTACTCTGATGTCCTTGTCCGTGTCCACAGGCTCCATACCAAATTGCAGGGAGAAGTGGCAAATGATTCAGAGGATAGTGATTGAGAACGTGCCAGGTAGATGCTTGACACTGTGAGGAGATCTCAGGACCTGGTCTCAGGTCTCAGGAATGATTGGGGATCCTTTAGAGGCTCCTCTTTGCAGGAACAGTCACTGGCCCCTAGCCTGGGCACGTGATCTTTTGGAGGATAGGATCTGGGAATCCAGACAGACGTGGTCTCTCCTATGTTTGGAAAGACTGAGAAAGAGGTCCCATCCTGGGCAGTTGTCTCCTGTGCCTCCACTGCCACTTCCCCTTCTAGAGATGCTTGCATCAGCAGCACATCTGTCTCCATCCTTAGATCTGGAGAGATAAGGCAGAGCTGCACATCCAAATTTAAGAGTTCCAAGTCTGTCAACCAGCAATGAAGACAGCAACACTCAATCCAGGATCAGTAAGAAGCAGAGCAGCCAGAGATTAGAAAATCCAACATAAGGTCCTGTGTCCTGTCAGTAGTCGTGGATGCTCCAGATGCTCGACCTCTTACCATGTCAGCAGACACAGTTCAGCTCCATCCGGGAGATCCAGGGATTGTCCTGGCCCACTTGATTCTCTAGGTATCCCTCATCTATCTGTTCTGCAGACAGCACCAGCTCTATTGTTCCCCACTGAATCTCCACCCTTTTTCTACCCAGCAGCATTCCCAGACCCACAGCCAACTTCTTCTCCCCTGAGTAACAGCCTTTTTATTCTTCGGGCTGTTTTCAGTGTTGTGTTAAATATTGCTTTTAACAAATTGTTCTTCATTGCGTAAATTCCGGTTATAGTGTTCACTCAGCATGCCTATATATGGCCTAGCAGGATCCCCAAACATGTCACACTAGTTCTGGGAGAGGCTACATGGAGGCAGAACATCCTGGAGAAAGGGAGGCAAAAGCCACTGCTTTGACAGGGACCAGGTGAATGCCTGAGAGAGGTGCTAGACATTGTGTCTAGCTGCTGTGTGCTGGGGAACGAAAGACCAGGGTCATGTGCTTAGAGCTCAGGCTGACCAGTTGTCCTTCCATGGGCTTTCTGTTTTAGGTGCAGGCTCCTGTAGCTGGGTAGCAGTACTATTGGTGCAGCAGATGAGGACATATTACCATCCCCAATATGCTCCTCGATTTAGCCGGCCAATGGAGCCCCGCCATTCACGAATCCCCACTTTCCAGATCTGGGTGGGACCTCCACTTGCTGCAGCCAGCTCAGCCTGGATGCCAAGACTGGCAGGGGATGCCAACATTGAGACATGGAGGCTTCTTTTCAGATGGAAGAACAGCAACCTTTATTTTGCCTAGGCTAAAACCTTTTCTACCTCTACAGCTTCTGTGGAAAAACACCGGCCAGAAAGAACACAAACATCCTTGTCAATTAGACCACAAGGAAGTTCCGCTGTCAGTCAGGGGGAGTAAGGACAGCTGGATCACAACAAGAGGGAGTTGAAAACGGCTGAAGGGCAGAGGAGGTGGAAAGGAACATGAAGGACCACAGAGAGACTGGCGAAGAGAACATTGATCTCAACTGCTGGTCCACGAAAAACAGTTGTGCAGAATGAGCTAGAAACAGATCAGGCAGGGAGTTCAGAAAAGTCTTCCAGACATCATGAAAAGTTAAAAAGAGGAGAAAGAAACAGGTGAAATGGAGAAGCTATCGATAAGGACGGGTAAATCTGACGGCTGCAGGAGAACAAAAAGCAATTCAATGCTGACATCTGGCCAAACCAATCAGAGGGAGGACAGTCACAGAGCCCCCAGGCCCCATTTCTGAAAGCTGTGGGTGACACAGTCCCACCCTTATGTCATGCAAGACTACCAGAGTACCACGTGATGCTGATGCCAAATTTCCCGAGCGAATCTATTCTACCCAAGTCATTCAAGGAGGAGTGGCCCTGGCCTCCCAGCTGGCCAATGCAACCCACCACCATTGTAGGGCAGAATTAAGTCCTGGTTAGAGGACTCCATAGCTTCTTTCACATTCCTGGCAGTTCCGTCGCTGGACTCCAGGCTGGCTAAGGTAATAAAGGGGAGATTTTCTGTGCTGGTGAATCTGGAAACCATTGCTTTCCAAACTTAATTTGCATCATTCATCGTCTGGGCATCTGTTAAAATGCAAGCATTGACTGGGTAGGACTTCTCTAGAGGGCTTCAGTCCTGCTACCTCACTTCCCCTCTTCCCAGTCACAGCTGCCAACCATGCCCTCCTCTCTGAGGGCAAACACTGCAGGATTTCTTTTCTCCCCAAAGGACCCATCAGGGAAAGAAGTCAAGTAGGAATTACAATTTCTCTTTTTATTATTATTATTATTTTTATTGAAGAAAAAAAATTTCCGCCTCCTCCCAGCCTCTCATTTCTCTCCCCCTCCTCCCACTCCTCTCCCCCTCCCCCTCCCCCTACTCCTCTCCCCCTCCCTCTCCAGTCTGAAGAGCAGTCAGGGTTCCCTGCCCTGTGGAAAGTCCAAAGTCCTCCCACCTCCATCCTGGTCTAGGAAGGTGAACATCCAAACTGGCTAGGCTCCCACAAAGCCAGAACATGAAGTAGGATCAAGACCCAGCCAGTGCCATTGTCCTTGGTGAAAGACCCTACAGACCCCCTCCTCAAAACCCGCAGCTAGCATGCTCCCTGGGGAACGTCCTGTTTGCTTTGAAAAAAATTCTCCGGATCAGCAGCCAGCCTGCTCCCGTAAGAACATCCCATGTGCCTGAGAGAGCAGGAGGTAGAGATAGGAAGACTGCAAGGCAAGATGTCAATAAGATAGGATGTCAACAAAACAGGTTAGCTATAAGATAGGAACAGGATGATTGTTGCCAGGCATCCATGCTGAGAGAGGAAACCATTCATGCCCCCCGCCGCATTCCGATAACCACGCTTTTGCTTTTGTAAACTTGCTTTTTGCTCTTCCCTATAAAAAGCCCGCCCTCCAGTTGGCAGGCGTGCAAATCTTCCGAGAGATCTTGCTGCCCACAGGTACCTGTGTCTACTCAATAAACCTCTTGCGATTTGCATCCGTGCGGTCTCGGCCTGTTCCTTGGCGTTGGGGAGGTCTCCTCCCGAAAAGAGGTCCTCGTCGAGGGTCTTTCACTTGGCTTCTCAGCAGCCCTCATTGTCCGCCATATTCAGAGAGTCCGGTTTTATCCCATGCTTTTTCAGTCACAGTCCAGCTGGCCTTGGTGAGCTCCCAATAGATCAGCTCCACTGTCTCAGTGGGTGGGTGAACCCCTTGTGGTCCTGACTTCTTTGCTCATGTTTTCCTTCCTTCTGCTCCTCATTGAAACATTGGGAGCTCAGTCCGGTGTTCCAGTGTGGGTCTCTGTCTCTATCTCCATCCATCGCCAGATGAAGGTTCTATGAGGATGTACTCACTCATAATTGGGTTCTAGCCACAAATAAAGGTCAGTGAGTCTATAATATGATATCCTAAAGAAGCTAAATAAGAAGGTGAACCCAAAGAAAAACATATAGCTATCCTCCTGGTTATGGGAAGTAGACAAGATTGCCGGGCAAAAAATTGGGATCTTGGGGGTGGAGTGGGAGGGGGGGTAAGGGGAGATGGGGAGAGAAAGTGAAAAGGGGAGGATGGGGGGAACTTGGGGAAACGGGATGATTGGGATAAAGGAAGGTTGGATAGGGGAGCAGGGAAGCACATATCTTAATTAAGGGAGCCATCTTAGGGTTGGCAAGAGACTTGGACCTAGAGGGGCTCCCAGGTGCCCAAGGCGATGTCCCCAGTTAGTTCCTGGGGCAGCTGAGGATAGGGAACCGGAAATGACCCGATCCTATAGCCATACTTATGAATATCTTGCATATCACAATTTCTCTTCCTTGTAGGAAGGCATGAGAACAGACAGCTGTTTGGTAGGTGAGTCCCAGGTGCTGAGTAAACTTTCCTTCTGGCCTCTGGCATTGGGGAAGAATTTCTCTTCTTCATGTTGGTGACATGATTGGCATTTCTGTAGGAGTTATAAATGCAGTGAAAGGAACCTACAGGCAGTCGTGGAAACCGGGTTACATTGATCTCTTTTTATATTTGCTCTGCAAAAACATTATCTTTTGCACCGTGATAGCCAGCATTTAGCTGGCCCCTGTGAGCTGCAGCAACAGCTAAGGTATTCTGCAGGTCACTTGCCCAAGAGCCACGCCTCTCCTGAGAGAGACCTTGGTGGCCCAAGGCCTTTACCGGAAGGGCCACCCTAGGGGGCCGCACCCGACGACACCCACAGCGCCTTCGCACAGCTTCACCGAGGATTACAGGCTGGTCCCGGAGTGCAAAGCACCGGTCTTATGCGAACTGACAGCGCAGCCAGCCTCACACCCGTGCCCTGCAGTGCAGTCATCTAAGGGTGCCTAACGCTCCGGACTGTTTAAGAGTCTCCCCTGTTAATTCCGCGCGCGCGCGCGCGTGTGTGTGTGTGTGTGTGGCGCACAGGCCCGTGGGGGCCGGGACGTGGGACTCCGGGGCTGGCGTCAACGGCGGTTGTGACCGTACCGACCCGGCCTCCCCATCAGGCCTGGTCCTAAACAGGCGCTCGTGGGACGCCCGGGCTCCCCGGAGCTGCAGTTCACGCCCCGTGCCCGGGAGCACAGCAGCCTCCATGGAAGGAGCAGCTTCTCCACCAGGACTCCTCCCAGTCGCCTGCGCCGGAGACGCCTGCAGAAGGAAGGGCGCAGGCGCGGCGGGTTGCGCAGGCGCGGTGCGGGCGGGAAGATGGCGGCCGGGTTCAAGTGAGTGGCGGTGCGCACAGGAGGCGCGGGTGTGGCGCGTGGTGGGGACCCGAGTGCTCGTGGGGCTGCGGGAGAGCTCTGCCCACGGGAGGCGCTGAGCAACAGCGCAGCCAGGATGCCCCGACCTCTTATCCGAGCCCCAGGCCGCTCTCCACGGGAAAACCGGAGTGCCGCCTTTGGAGGGACCTGAGACCTTTGGGGCTCTGATGGAGCCCCAGGCTGCCCACGCGTGTAAACCTCTAGCTCGTGTGTCTGCGAGGGCGTGCACTCACAGCTGCTGTGACTTCTGTCTGCGTGTAGTTGACGAGGCCACAGGAACCTCCCGTAACTGCAAAAACACAGTCCTTGGTGGTCGCTAATGCAGATTACCGCACGGCATCTGTTGCCGAGTCCCCAGCTTCAGAACTAGAGTTTCGTTGCCGACACCCAAGTGAATCCTCTTCAAAGTGTGTCCAGGGCCTTGGACTCCGGTCCCCTTGACCGGGGCACAGTAAAGGGGACCGATGAAGACGGGTTGCTACTGTTAGGCCTTTTTATTACTATGGTTAACACCTGAGCGTGTGGAGATTGATGCCCCAGCGTCACACCCTTAAGTGCTGGCTTTAGACTCTGGGATGCATACTGACGGACTTTAACACATTTTTACCATATTTCAGAACTGTGGAACCCCTGGAGTATTACAGGAGATTTCTGGTGAGTAGAGGCGATTTCGTATGTCAGACCCTTTGATAAGTATACTTCAAGGCATAGTTTTTCAGTTCCTTTAAATTATTGGGGCTTAATGTGTTCTCCTCTGCATAAGTGGAAAAATATGTAATCTATTTTCTTATACACATTTAGAAAGAAAACTGCCGTCCTGATGGAAGAGAACTTGGGGAATTCAGAACCACAACTGTCAACATAGGTGAAGATATACTTCATTTCAGTTGCTATGACACCCGGCCCTCTTATGCTGTGTGCCACCTTTCCCCCAGCCAATTATACTATCTATGCGTGAGGTATTTGGTGATGTTAAAAGCTTATTTTATATTAGCTTTGTCGTTGATCTAAGCCTGATTAGCTCAAATTGGGGGTCAGAGGAAAAGAGATTAAGTAATGATACCATTTTCAAATCACTGATCTGAACCTGTCAGAAGTTCCAGAGGCAACTTTAGAGGTCGAGCCAGATAACCATACAGACTAAAGCATCTGAATGACTTTGTAGTCAAATAAAATGCATTTATTCATTCTCCTTTACTTTTTTAGAAGGTTGTTTATACGTGCCGTGTTCCCTTTGCAGGCTCCATCAGCACTGCCGACGGCTCTGCCCTCGTGAAGCTGGGGAACACCACAGTCATCTGCGGAGTGAAAGCAGTAGGTTGGCTGGTGTCTGGTGACGGCCCAATTCCAAATTAGCTTCAGACTCACAAGGTCGTAGTTAATTAGGGCTCGGAATGTAGATCTACCCCGACCTGGGTGTACCCCTTTCCAAGGCAAATAACTGAATCTCAGCACCTCGTACTTTAAAATGTTGGTAAGATTGTTTTGAAATTAGCTTGTTACTGTGTTAGCTTTTAGCTGTCCATAGTCTTTGTTACTCTTAAATGAGCAGTAGCTGTCTGCTGGCCGCCTGCTCTTGGGAGCACCTTAGGAGCTTTGCTGGTTTACTGGTCTCCACCTCCTGCTCAGCCCATGAAGTTCAGTAGCCCCTTGGTTTGTCAGGCTCATAACAGAGTCTGATGACAAAGCCTGTCCTTTCTGACATCACACTCAGCGACTTTCCTCTTTTAGAGGTCTGTGGTCACTCTGAAGCGATAGCTATCAGAACATGTACTCCTTGCCAGCTTTCTACTTGGAACTTAATGGTGCTGTCTCATTTGGGCCTTGGAAATAGCCCCTGTGAGTAGGCAGGTACTGTTCACCTGTCCTCATAAAAGCAGAGAAATGTCTAAGGTCAAATAACTTGCCCCAAGCCTCTGAGCCTAGGAAGTATGTGTCTACAGCTGAGCTGGGCTACTTACTATTAGTTGTCATACTTGTGACTCCAGCTAGTTAGTAAGTCTAGCCATGTTGTATCATTTGGGATTAAATTCAGATTCTCGGCTCCTGAACAAGTGCACAGATGGGGCAGAGCCCATGGATCCTCATCATGAGGATGAGCAGCAGTCTGTTCACGCTGCCCTTCTTTGACTTCCTGTGAGCCATTGGGAAGGGCAGTGCCAGTGTCCTTGATTCCCCCAAGCACTCTAGATACTGATCGTGGGGTATTGGCCTGGGAGGTCTTCAGTACAGCGTCTGTAACTAACTCCTAGACTGTCTTCATGGTTTTGAATGGCTCCTTTCATTAGAATACATTTCTTTGCTTTTGTAGGAGTTTGCAGCACCACCACTAGATGCGCCTGATAGAGGATATGTTGGTGAGTTAAATGCGCTTGTAATTTTAACAAACACACGAGTAAGCTTAACGTGAACTCTTGTAGTGGAGTTCTGATAATTGAGGTAGTGGTCAGAAATAATGTCCCCTCATCCCAAAGCTTTCTGCTTGTTCGATAACAGAGGTAAGGTACACCTCAGAACTTCGCCAACTCATGTGGGTTGTCTCAGTTTACACTGAGTTGTATACATTCCTTATCCAAGGATGAGTTGTCGGTAAAGGCCATCAGTGCGGACTGAAATCTATCTGCACTCAGCTTAGACTCGGCAATATTTTTGTCTTGGATTATCTTTTCTTTAAGGTAGGAACCAACATTAAAAACTTTAATAGTTAGTTGTAAGCAGAGAACGGTTTTGCTACACACAGGTATTTGGGGGAAGAAAACAGAAAAATTGTAAAGAATTATGATTGAAGCATAATAAGCTTTTGAAGCAGTGTGGGAAAACTTTAGACAAGTATAAATTTCCTTTTCTCGGAGCTTGGCAATCTGAGAAAAAGTCATTTTAACACTGCTGTGCTTTCCACCCAAAGAGTCTAGTACCCATTGCCTGTGCTATGGGCAGTCCCTGTGCTAGGAACCTTATCGGGGACCTCTGAGTGCCAGCCTCAGTGTCCCTTCAGAACTCAGATTTACAGCAAGCGCAGGACTTAGATCTGAGGGTGAAATGAACTCTACTCTGTACTTGTCTGTACCAGTTTCATTACTCTTCTCCTGCTCTCTATTCTGGAAAGTTCCCAGTTTATATACCCAGGCAAAGCAAAGGCAAATCTCTGAGCTTGGACCTCCCTTTCTCTCTGAAAGTCCCACTGTGATCTATATGAAAGACTCCTTTTCTGGCTGCATGCCCAGCGCCTTGCCAACTGAGTTGATCTTCATTGCACTCGTTCTGGTGGGTCAGCCTTCTGCTCTATCAGCTGAAATCTCACTGCATGATTCCTATGGACCACAGCAGAACCTCAGCTGTCGGGGAAGTTTAGTTCCTAGCTGCAGTGTTTCTTTCAGTTCCTAATGTGGACCTACCACCGCTGTGTTCGTCGAGGTTTCGGACTGGACCTCCTGGAGAAGAGGCCCAAGTAGCCAGCCAGTTCATTGCGGATGTCATTGAAAAGTAAGACTTTTATGAGGAATTTTTACCACCGTGCATTATTATTATTATTATTATTATTTTTTTTTTTTTGGTTTTTCGAGACGGTTTCTCTGTGGTTTTGGAGCCTGTCCTGGAACTAGCTCTTATAGACCAGGCTGGTCTCGAACTCACAAAGATCCGCCTGCCTCTGCCTCCTGAGTGCTGGGATTAAAGGCGTGCGCCACCACCGCCCGGCTTACCACCGTGCATTATTAAATGTTTTGCCTTCATATTTATTGTGTTCTTTATCATTAAATCAAGCTCACAGATAATTAAGAAAGAGGACTTATGCATCTCTCCAGGCAAGGTAAGAACAGACTGAACTCTTATGAACTCTGAAGTGACTGTGTGCATGTGCTTTAATATGGTAGTAGGGATGAATCAACAACTTTAAATCCTGAGATTCTAGAGTTTAGAAGGGATTTTGTAAAAGATCATTATTCCATAATTGTCTAAATAAACATAAATCCTTTCCAACTGGGTATTAAGTTTGATGAGCTAGGGTCACACTGTGTACCTTGGCTGATTTTTACCTCCTGGTCCTTTCCCCTAATCTCCCTAATGCTGGGATTACAGGTTTTTGCCATTGTGTCCAAGTAACAAGTAATAAATAACCTGTCTGGGAGCTAACTTTCAAGCTAAGGTTAACTCACACACACTTTTCCTCTTTAAAAAAAAAAAAAAAGGCTTTTATTATCCCTTAGATCAGGTTTTGCTTGATATTTATAGTGAACCCATGTGGAATCTTCCTATAGTGCCTTCCTTTACTAATTTATAGTGCTAACTAGCACGTAAAACCTACATTGTACATCGAGAGCACAGATTACAGCTGGGCCTTTCACTTACTAAGTAGCAGCAAGAATAAACCTTCCTCTTTGCACCTATAGCTCTACTTAGGGAAAGGACAAGTTTATCACTTGTTGGTTTGCTTGTCAAAAGCCTAGCTTACCCATCCTGACCACTTTGACTTCGTACTTTATAAATGATAGGGGAAAAAATTTAGGCTTTCAAATCTTACTTGCTTATCTAATCAACGGTTCTGTAATTCTTAAGCCTAAGGCAACAGCACTATTCAATTATCAGGTCTAATTTACTTTGTGTGAACTGTTTTAGCTTGCTTGGGTCCTATACTGTGACCTTATTTGCCTAGACTACGATGGAAATATTTTGGATGCCTGCACGTTTGCTTTGTTAGCAGCTCTAAAGAATGGTAAGCAGCCTAAATGAAGCATTTTCCTGCTAATCCGGTCAGAATCCAGCTGGTCAAAACCTTTGGCAAGGTTTTCTTGAGATGTAATCGTCATTCACATGTTTGTGCTGTGAGACAGTATCCCATAACCCAGGCTGGCCTTGAACTTATCCTTCTATCTCAGCATCTCAGAGGCTGAGAATATTTTAAGTATGAACTACCTTGCCCAGCTTGTGCTCCTAAGTTAGATAAATTTACAGGGTTTTCTGAAAGTGAACATCCTAGTTTTATATTCTGTAGTGTTTTAGAACTGCTTTGACTGTTTCCACCTGTAGTTAATAGGGCAGCCGTCCTTCCTAGAATCTGCTGACTTGGATAAGGGATTCTCACTGTAATACAGGTAGCTCATACAGGCAGACATAAATATCACCTGATAGTGATGTTTCCTAGTAAGGGTCTGGGTAGTTTGGTAATGTCTTAGAATATCACTTGTGCATATTCCAGGTCATTCTACGTGACCAGCAATCGACAATAAAAGCCAGGCATAGTTGTCTGTGTCTGTAACCTCAGCACACAGGTGAGGAAGACGGCAATTTGAAGCCAGTTCAGACTGCAGAACGATCCTCTATCTAAAACATCCAACTTAGAGTGGAAGATATAGTTAATAGTACTAGTATAGTCCTAGTTAAACATCAGTCCAGCCTGCTTGCTTCCTTTGTAATAAAACGATACCGAAGAGCAGCACTTACTACTTTAGGAGGGTAGATGACTAAATGAGTATTATAGATACTTTGAGCTGGGCAGTGGTGCATGCCTTTAATCTTAGCATTTGGCAGGGGGATCTGAGCCAGCCTGGGCCACAGAGCGAGTTCTAGGAAAGATAGGACTACATAGAGAAACCTTTTTGGGGGGGAAATAAAAACAAAAAAAAGGCTTGGCTGGAACATAAGGTGTTCTGAAAAGCAGTTTTCATCCACCATAGTTACCTCAATTGTTATGAGACTTAAAATAAAATTATCCTGGTAACAGGTGAGTAGCACATAACTCTTAATTCGAGTGAATTCCAAGCTAAATGGGCTGCACTACATAGTGAGATCCCGTCAAATCAGTAGTTGTTCTGGATAAGCTAAATGGGGGAAGAGTTAAGAAAGGATTGAAATGAAGCTATGTACCACATTCATTTTATGTTTACTTGCCTTTTTCTAGTACAGTTGCCTGAAGTAACTATAAATGAAGAAACTGCTTTAGCAGAAGTTAATTTAAAGAAGAAAAGTTATTTGAATGTTAGAACAACCCCAGTTGCAACTTCCTTTGCTGTGTTTGATGAGTAAGTTAACCAAATGTACCATTCTGGGTTCTAAGCTAATAGCCTTAATCTTGTTATTTAGCTGTCTTTACAAGAAATGTCCTCCAGTTGATCACCAACCCTAATTTGCTGTGGATATCTGAGCCCGGCCCTGCAGTTCCTTTAGTCAGAGCTTCCATCTGCTTGGCATCCTGATGTACAGGATAATTCTATGGTCACCAATTGCCCCTGTTTCTTTATGCCCTTTTTCCTTTATGGTGACAGGTATTGTATAGGGCTGGTTCATACCAGGCAAGTGCTCCATTGCTGAGCTATGCTCCAAGCTCCTACTCTATAAACTTCTGAAACCGTCTCCAGTATTTGCTGCAGAATCTAAGAAATTCCCAAAGCTGAAGAGCAAGGAGTTCCTACGTACTGGGCTGCAGGGTGCTGCCACTCTGGCTTCCTTCAGTCCTGGATTAGCTCTTCCATAGGCTAAAATCAATCCTAGAAATGATACCCTACCCCCTCCATGCACATTGTTTTAATACCTTTTTGTTGTTGTTAATGTAGCACTTTGCTGATAGTTGATCCTACTGGAGAGGAAGAACACCTGTCAACAGGAACCTTAACAATAGTAATGGATGAGGAAGGCAAACTGTGTTGTCTTCACAAGCCAGGTATGTCCTTTCTACTGCAGTGGGAAATAGCTGGGGTGTCAAGTGGGGTGTGGGATGTTTGGCTGCTTAGCTGACGGAAGTTTATGATGGTCTTTGCTGTTTTAGTGTTGTGTGTCATCCTAAACTTAGGACATATCTGTCTTCTAGAGCCTTTCTAAAACTAACCTGCAGGTCTTGAGACCATACCACTTGATTTAGATGTTGTTTGATTTCAAAACAAACACTTGACATGATCTTCAACTTTCACAAAATAATGGAAACACTGAAAACTGGCCTAATTTTTCAGGTGGGAGTGGACTTACTGGAGCTAAACTTCAGGACTGCATGAGTCGAGCAGTTACGAGACACAAAGAAGTGAACAAGCTACTAGATGAAGTCATTCAGAGTATGAAACACAAATGAAGCCACCACAATTGCAAAACAGATGTAAAAATTTTATTTATTACACTGTGCACAGGCTTTTTATACTAAATAAATACCAAACTACATTCTTTTGGAAGATATTTCTAGTAGTTCTTAGATTATTTCTATAGATGGTATATACAAGAAAACATTTAACCATGTAAGAACCACAGAGTTGTGCTTTTGTATAAACTATGCACCATCTATTAATGTAAAATACTGACATCTTAGGAGGAAAATGAAGCAAAAATACAATTCATTCAATGGTCTGTGTTTGTAAAAAACAAAGAAAAGACAAAAGGAAAAAAAAAATTGCTCAGAATTTTGGAGTGGTTGGCATGCCTCGCTTCACTTTACTCTTGGACTGGCCACCTGCATGCCGGTGACGATGGAGCTGGGCTGTCTGTGCGGCTGCTGCTGCCATAGCCATCTGCTGTTGCAAGAATCGCAACTGCTGCAAAACGGAGGGGGAGAAAAGAGATCACATTATGCTAAATGCACAGGTGTGGCCAGTTGCTTCCCAGGAGTGATGAAAACAAGCCTCAGAGTGGAAGCATGGGGGAACAAAGGGTACTCCTCCAAACTAGGACAGTGCAAGAACCTGCTGAGAGCTTTAAATACAATTCTTAAAAATGATACAATTATCTGTTACTTAGCCTTGGCAGTCCATACTGCAGTAATGCAGCAACTGCAGTTACCATTTTGTTGTATAATGATAATTCATAGTAGTTGATCATAGTGTGCTGACACCCTTTCCTAAAATAATTTGCAACTTTTCTAAAGCAATGGGAACACTCCCACAGCATAGAATCATAAAAGTTAATAATTGGCACTTAAAACTATTTCAAAATACGATGCACATTAAAGGGGTGTGTGAAATGTGCCACCAAGACCTTAAAAAGGATTTAAAGTATGCATTGTTATAGTTTACACTTAGTGCTACAAGCTGACTGGCATGTCAGATTTCTAAAAATAAAACTAAGTTACTGACCAATTGCTTTAGCAGGAAAGCCCCACTGCAAAGCAGTATTTTGGAACTTAAGGGTTTTAATTAATCAAATGAAGCTGCTAGATTACTTGAAGCTGCTGCTGCTGCTGTTGCTGTTGCTGCAAGGCAGAGGAGAGCTGGAGTCTCTGCTGAGGAAGGCTTTGCTCAGGTCTGTTCTCGGCAGAGCCAAGCTGAGATAACACTACAGAAGGGGAAAGCAGGCCCGTTAAAAAGTTTGAAGGCAACCAGGATTAGAAAACACAGCATAGACAATGAGAAAAAATAGAAATTACCTTAAGTAACAAATCATACCTATTTCAGAATAAATTTTGTCTCCTGCTAATTAAGGGTATCACTGATTCCAGAACATTCTGGCTATAGAGGGAAGGAAGTACACAGACAAAAGTACTGCATTCCCTCCCCCCCTCTTTTAAGTCTCATCCCAGGCTGGCCTCAGAACTCACTATGTAGAACCAGCTAACCCTGAATTCCTGATTCTCTTTTTCTCCACCTGAAGAACACTTTGGTTATAGGTTTATGCATTGTACCCAGTGTTCTGAAGCTGAAACACTCTAGCACCTCAACTACATTCTGTCTCCATAGCATCCTCGTTGCATCCCAATGGAACGTGATATTGGCTGGACCTATGTCTGAAAGCCACCCTTATATGATGTATGTTCTTTTAAAATACAACATCCAGTGAGCTTGCAGAGATGACTGACAGCTGATTGGGCCATCCCTATCATTCCACATTCTCAAAGAGAGGTGAAAAGGCTGACCAGGCTTAAGTGAGTACAGTTTGTCTACAATTCTTATCACAAATTTACTAAGGCTATTTTAGAAAAATAACTTGTGTGGTAAAGGTACATTAGTTACAAATCTGCATTTGGAAATTCACAAATTCTAAATTACAGCTCTTTGTAAGAAATAGTTTCAAAACACAAGTGTGAATTACTCCTACTAAGGTACATCTAAACTTGAAAACTGGAAGTTACAGAAATCAAAAGCAAGCACACAGGGACAATTTACTGAATCCTCAAATTCCATTATAGCTTTGCTAATCAGTTTTATTAAAATTCTATCTCTTGGCTTATTCAAATGTGAAGTCAGAATTCAATACAGTATTACCTTTTGTTTACCATTTCCTACTTTCATTCATTCCCTACTTTCAAGTGGGAGCATTCAAGTTAGTTTCATATTTATAAACAAGTAGCTTACATAAGTTTTGCTAATTATAAAGATTTAACTCAACCCCCCCCCCCCAAAAAAAAAGATTTAACTCATACAATACAAACTGAGAAAAATTATGCAATGTAGGACAATGTGGTCCCAGGTAATTAAGAAAACAGAATTAACCACTGAAAACTGCTTTGATGGCTTTCTATGAAGTCAGATGGACATGTAAGTTTGCCAGCTGGGGCTGGAAGAGATGGCTCAGTGGTTAAGAGCATTGCCTGCTCTTCCAAAGGTCCTGAGTTCAATTCCCAGCAACCACAACCATCTGTAATGAGGTCTGGTGCCCTCTTCTGGCCTGCAGGCATACAAGCAGACAGAATATTGTACAATAAATAAATAAATATTTTTTAAAAAGAGTTTGCCAGCTAACCACTGTAAAGAGAACATATAAATATGTGAGTCAAAGCTTTCATAATCAGCTGTCAAAGTAATTTTTAAGGAAAAATTCTTGGTCAGTTGTTTGTTAATCTTGTAGTTTACAGATTAAATACTTCAGCCTTTTTCTGATTACTGCTTGCAAGGAAGAAAAGGGAAATAATTTACACAGATCAGAAGGAAGTCAGGATGATACCCACCAGCTGCCTGTGACTGTGGAAAACCTCCTACTCCAGTAAGATTAATAATAGCAGCTTGCTGAGCAGTTAAGGCTTGTTCTTGAGCAGTTAAAACTTGTTCAGATCCCTGAATTTAAAAAAAAAAAAAATAGTATGTTACTTGTGCAAAAATGGCAAAACAAATTGAGCCAGTGAAAAAACAGCATCTCTTTGATGCATGAGGAAGAATAAACAGCTTAGGTTTCGTATAAATTATGAACACATGTAGAAGTAGCAAGCTTGGAATGAACAAAAACAAATGCTAAATTAAAACCTCACATTACTTCCAGAACAGTGCTATTATAAAACAAAAATCCAAAAATGCACAAAAGCAATGCATTGGATACAATTTCTTTCCTAAAATGACCACAAAGATTATACACACACACACACACACACACACACATATATGTATGTATATATCACAAATAGAGATATTTACCAGCAAGCTAGAATAATAACTAAAAACCATGAATAAAAATTAACTATCAGGCTGGAGAGATGGCTCAGTGGTTAAGAGCACAGGCTGCTCTTCCAGAGGTCCTGAGTTCAATTCCCAGCAACCACATGGTGGCTCACAACCATTTGTAATGAGATCTGGCACCCTCTTCTGGCATGGGGGCATGAATACATGGAGGCAGAATGTTATATACATAATAAAAGTAAACAAATCTTTAAAAAAAAACATTTAAAAAAATTAACTATCCACTACTAAAGCATTCAGCAAAAAAAAGAAAGAGTAGAAAAGGTATACAATCAGTATTAACAAAAGAAAGCAAAAAATTGAGATATAGAGGGTCACTTACTAATTAGAGAGGTCAATTAGGCCATACTGATTCTAAATGTCTACACCTAAAGATAAAGCTTCAAAACCAGCTGTTGGTGTTTGAAACTTGTAATCCAGTACTTGGAGGACAGAGGAAAATTACCGTTAAAATCAAATGAGAGTATTTTGTAGAATTAAAATAGAAATATAATGTATCAAAACTTGTGGAAAGCAGCCTAAGCAGAGCTGAGGAGGAAATGAATGGATAGAATTACTCAACTCAGCAGTGTGCCTGTCAGGCTCCTGCTGTAATCCCAGTGCTTGGAACTAATGCAAGAGTTTGGTGCTACCCTGGGCTACAGAGTAAGGGCCTGTTGCAAAACAAACAATATTCACATACGCTAAATATAATAGGTTTCATCACAATAAAGGATAAAGGCCACTATTCGGGATCTTAGATGAAATAACTAAATTAAGATTTTAAGAGTTAAAATAATTTGGGCTGCAGAGATGGTTCAGTGATTAAGAGCAGTAGGTGATCTTCTGGAGAATCAAGGTTTGATTTTCAGCACCCAGTCACCCAGTGACTCACAATCATTTGTAACTCCAGTTCCAAGGGAACGGATAACCTCTTCTGGCCTCCCCAGGTACCATGCATAGCAATGGGACACAGTGCCCATGGTGCATAGACATGCAAGCAAAACACCCATACATATAAAAATAATAAAATTTTAACAAGATTGTCATCTTTGTCTTTTTATCCCTCTCAAGATCATATAAAGTCAGAGAAAATTTCTGATAAATTGTAAGAAAGGCAAGTAAAACTGCTGAACTCTTAAGAGGAAAATAAAGTTTCATCAGTTGAATTTGTCAATCGTATCTCTTCAATATGAATGCAAAAGTATAGCAGAAGAAAGTAAAAACCCCCAAGAGCAGAAGTTAGGCAGCCACCTGTGACGATGTGAAGAGAGTGCTGGCGGGAGTGCACGACAGTGCAGCACGACAGTCAACACTAGTGTCTCAGGGTAAGAGAAGCACTCTAAGACCCAACAAGTTCTTGACACATACCCAAATGATGACCTGTCTGTGGAGACAGCAAGAGATGCAAAAGGACACATGGACCATGATTCCATCTCCCTACATGAGACACTCAGGATGGTTAAGATCAAAAACATAGCACAATGGTGGTGTTTGGACTGAGGACATTATCAGTTGCTTATGGAGTTTCAATTTTGCAAGATTAAAGATACTTTGTGCAACAGTGTGAATGTACTCAATACTACCTAAATGTAAATAGCAAACAGCTGCACTGTTCATGCCTGTTCTCCCAGCCCTTGGTGCTGGGGCAGAATGAATGCTTAGTTACCAGCCAGGCTGGAGTAAAAGCCTGCCTCAAAAACAGCAACAACAAAAGCTCCAACACTATATTTCAGCAAAGGCACTTTTTCCCAAGGATGATCACAGAGCCTAACAGTGGGAGGACAGAACCTACCAGTCCTTTGGACTCATGTGCACCACTACCCATACACGGACATAAAGAAAATAAAATTTGTTTTTTAAAAGTGAAAGTATGGAAGGGAAGGGAAGGGAAGGGAAGGGAAGGGAAGGGAAGGAAGGAAGGAAGGAAGGAAGGAAAACTAGACATCTTATTAGTGAAGCAGAACCTTTAATGTACTAATAATACAGAAAGTTATCAGTTTGTCCTCTGATAAGCCTGCCAGAGGATGAGTTTCATCCACTGAAGACCTGAAGAAATGAAGTTCAAGAGGGCTGATAGAGTAGTTTTCAGATCAGCTGAGACCCTTAAGGTGGGACCCAGGAATAAGTATATTTAGGTTCCTAAATGATTCTACAGAATAGCCAAAGTCCATGAACAATTGTCCCTTCTCTTCAGACTTCAATTTATTTAATTACATTCTGACTGGCAGTGTCTGCTTTTGATTTTGTTCCCACTGCCCAGTACTTCTGGCCAACACAGACAGATCCACTGCAACGGTAATAAATTTCTACAAAGGAACTGGAGAGATGGCTCAGCAGTTGAGTACTGGCTGCTGTTCCAGAGGACCTGAGTTCAATTCCCAACAACTACATGGTGGCTCACAACCATCTGTAATGAGATCTGGCGCCCTCTTCTGGCCTGCAGGCAAACATGCAGACAGAATACTGTACACATAATAAATACATCTTAACAATTATACAAACAGAAGATGATGGGTTAGTCAGTGGGGTCACCTGCCACTACCATTAACTGTTTGCCTGTGTGACACTACTTGTCAAGATAGAGACCTCCATTTAGAGCAGATATCATTAGAAAAACTTGCAGCTACTGGTATTAATAAAGAGAAACAACACAGGAACTATTTCTTCCAACAAACTAAAACAGTGGAAATGTATGAAAAACTTGTCCTAAATTAGTTTCACAGTGAAAATGCAAATACAGAAAGATGCTAAAAATCCCATACCTGCTCCTCTGGCTGCTGGGGACTTGAAACTGAAGGCTGTTGTACAAACTGAGGGAGCTGTGGCTGCTGCTGTTGAGGCTGTTGTACAAACTGAGGGAGCTGTTGCTGCTGCTGTTGAGGCTGTTGTACAAACTGAGGAAGCTGTTGCTGCTGCTGTTGAGGCTGTTGTACAAACTGAGGAAGCTGTTGCTGCTGCTGAGTGTTAAAAATGGGTGAACCACCAGGAAGCTATTCAGAATTTAAGCAAGAATTAGCTACTTCCATTGTTCCCATGTAAAATATTTAAATTCCCTTACAAATATCCATAGATAATTAGCTAGGGGCCAAGCACTCTCCTAGGCTCTGAGGAAACAGATGAAGACAGCAAGAGAAGGACTGGAGATGGAGCTCAGCAACTGCTGGGCCAGCTTTTTATTTATTTATTTATTTATTTATTTATTTATTTATTTTTGGTTTTTCGAGACAGGATTTCTCCGTAGCTTTTGGTTCCTGTCCTGGAACTACCTCTGTAGACCAGGCTGGTCTCGAACTCACAGAGATCCGCCTGCCTCTGCCTCCCAAGTGCTGGGATTAAAGGCGTGCGCCACCATCGCCCGGCTTTGGGCCAGCTTTTAAACTTCCACACACACCACACAGAAGCAAACAAGCTACCTGCGCTTCATCAGGCTACACCCAGGAATTATTTTTAAGTCCTACTGCTTTCTCCCCCTATATTATTTTCAAATATAAATTTCCTGCTTCTAGTTAATAGTCAGCTATCCAAATTTACAGTTTTTAAATATTTATCACTTCTGCCATCCTCACAAAAAAACATCACATACGCTAAGAAACTACAAAGTAACTGGGCATCGTGGCACACTGGAGCACCTATATTCATTCCTAATACCTGGCAGGCTGAGAAGGGAGAGTTCAAAGCCAACCTGAACTTCACAATCTATCCTCAAAAACCAAAGTTATGATTCATAAATTTGTGTATGACAACCCATCTCCCAAATTTGTTCTAGTCTTTTAGCAATAACCCTAAAAATAACCATTTTAATGGACCAGGGTAAGGAATTCTAGGGCTGATTAAGAAAGTGCCTTTACTGTTGAGACCTTTATCTTGCTCTTATTCTGAACCCAAATTAAATTTAAAAAGCAATCCTTTGGTTAAGAAAACCAAACCCACTAAATCTGACACAGTCCAGGCTCAGTATTTCTTTTTTACTAGTAGACAGAGTGGCTTTGTTCTCATCCTTTTTATCTGTCACGAAAGACTTCTCAAGACACATGCTAACATGAAGCAGAATGCTCTAGCTGTGGCCACATTACCAGTGCACAGCTCTGCCACTGGCCTGCACATACTGACAGTGTATTTATACCACACAAACAGTTTTAGTTCAATCCAGACTTCCCTATCAGTTATAGATGAGGTTGGCTGATATGTCCAGTATTGCCATTTCTCAATAAGCCACAGTTCTGTATTATCATCAGATCTTTATCTTCAAGTTTGCCTTTAAGTTCTCTGTAGACAGCTATTTTCCAAATTATTAGTTTAATATGTGACTGTTAAAGAACCGTGGGGAAAAGAGTAAAGCAAGTTGAGGGTAACAGCAGAAAAACACAGAAAGAAGTATCAAGCATCTAATAGTATGTGGCATCTACATTTTAAACAGTCACGCGCACAATGAAAGGAGAGGGAACACTCTGTGGAGGAAAAAAGGAGACCAGTGTGGAAGGAGCAGGGAATAAAGACATGTGAATATAAGTAAGGAAAAGGACATACTATAGTGAAAGCCATTATTTTATATGCTAACTAAAAGAATTACACATAAAGAAGGGGAAGTAGAACAAGAGAGAGTAATGGGATAAGTAACTTGGAGCACACAGAGGAACCAGGAAGTAAAGGAGCTAGCATGGGACTTAGAGTGCTCTAGTCTTTAGTCCTCGTCTCCTCTCTCATGTATTGCTAGGTCTTCAACCTGAGGCCTTGCCCATGTTAAGCAGGTGGTCCGAGCACTTAGGCTCCATTTTCTATCTCTTTAGAGCACATTGATATTGTAATGGAAAAAAGGTAAGGCAGCCCCATGATTCGGTATATATTAGACCCAATGAACATTTATAGAATGACTAGTAGTTATCTATCTACCACTGTATTAAGAAAGTATAATCTTCCTTGGGGGAAATAATGCATACCAAAGTTTTGAAACCTCTAAGCACAAAAACTCAAGGTGAGCTAACAGCACACACATGTCTGCAAGTGTTCGTACTGCCACTACTGTAGGCTGGAGCTTTTCCAGGACCACCTCATTGGGGTAACAAGCTCTTGATCAGACAGGGACTAAAGCCAATGAACGTTGCATCTATAGAACACCTATTATTTTTATTTGCACTTAACTACATAAAGGTAGCAATACACATACCCCTAGAAGATTCCAGATAGACTTCAAATTTTCATATGCTAACATGTATAAATATAGTAGTTTTTTTTTAAAAAAAAAAACAAAATATAAAAATTAAAGTCAAAAGCACTGTTTTATGTTTACCTGGAGTAGATTTAAAGGCCTGAGACTTGAAGTATTCTTTAAACCAAACGGGATACCTGTTAAATAAAAGTAATGGTTATAATAGAACTGAAAGCATTACAAATGAAAATTTAGACTTCAACATATGAAAATACATTACTGTCCTTTCTCCAAATGATTAATTTACACATAATTTAAAAACCCTTCAACAACAAAAGAACTGTTTTATTATTTATCACTATTGACATTTTATTCAAAGTTGCGGGGTACTAGATATCAACTATATTCTACATTTCAGACTTCTTTACTTCTCATACTGTTGAAGAAAGTCATCTATAATTACCTACACATCGTGAAAGGAACAAAACTACTGCCACTGTGCAAGCACATTTTTATCTGCCACTTGTTTACATTCCTCAGTGATATACAATAAATACTAAATTCTGCATTCCAAATAGCAATCATTGCTGGGCGGTGGTGGCGCACACCTTTAATCCCAGCACTCGGGAGGCAGAGGCAGGCGGATGGATCTCTGTGAGTCTGAGGCCAGTCTGGTCTACAAGAGCTAGTTCTAGGACAGGCTCTAAAACTACAGCGAAACCCTGTCTCAAAACAAAAACAAATACCAATCATCAAAATGTTAAAAGAACACTAACTTTTGTAAAGACAAAAACCAAAGTTATGATATAATGGCTTATTAATTCCAAATTTAAGGAAAGGCAAAACAAAGTACTAGCAAGATGACTCATGGGTAGTGGTACTTGCCACCAAGCCCTGGTGACCTGAGTTCAACCCCAGGACTCACATGGTGAAGGACAGAACAGATGACTGCAGGCTGTCCTGATTCTCAACTTCAGCCACAGGATGCTCACACATACAGATATAAAACAACATTCTTGGCAGACTGTATAGCTGACCCTGGTCTCTAAGCATGTGCAAATTAGTGCATACATTTTAACCCAGCGCTCAGGAGGAAGAGGTGGAGAATCTCTCTGAGTTCAAGGCCAGTCTGATCTACATAGTAAGTTCCAAAACAGCCACAGGCACATAGTGAGACCCTGTCTCAAATGGTGTGCCCCACAACACATAAAAATATGTGCAAATTTTGTTCACATCAATCTGAATACAGATGAAAAATTATCTACTCTAGATACAGAGTAGGGAGGAAGACATGGGAAGTTCTTAAAAAATTAACAAAAATATATGTAGTCCTCTATCAGATGTTATTTATAGAAAGAGGTATAGAAAATTGGTATGTGATGTCATCAACACCTTGTACAAGAACCTGAAGAAGTCTCAGATGTGCGCCATTCAGGAAACAGTCCCTGAGGAGAAATGGCTTGTGCTATCACTGCTGTGCAAACATGTATCAGTGCCTGGTATCCACTTAGTGTCTCATTGTGGCACAGCATACAAAGGAACATGACTCCTGCATGCAGCTTCCCAGCTTATCAAAGGCACTGGTAGACTTCCTCTTTCTCCTAAGACCAAGTAAAGTTAGAATGCAAATGACACTGAGTCTGGGGAAAGAATTAAATGGCTTCTCTAAGGACAGCACTGGAGCAATGTAAACCTAGTACCCTAGAAGCTCCTTACACATAAATCTATATATCTAAAATTCTGGATGTGACTTTAATATCCATGGCTCCTTCTCATCAAAATAAGCACAACTAGAATTAGAAAGTAGTAACAACATATTTACGTTATACTTTCTAGGTTTTTTCCATAACCGAGAAAGCTTTTGGTCGGTTTATTTCTGAGCTGCCTACCCATTCATTAAAGGGCATCATAACCAGCACACTTGTGCCCACTGCTTTGGACCACAAGGTAATAACTACTACTATTATAAAGGATGACAATGAGAATGTTCCTAATGACACAGGTACAGTGTAAATACTGTTTGACATGTATTTATTCTCCTATGAGAAAAATTATTATTACTATCACCATTTTATTTCTGGGGAAAATAATATAAAACAGCAACTTCCCAAAATTAGACAAGTAAGAATTTAGGTTTTTAGCTACCATGCCAAAAGCGATACAACACATATTTTTATTGTCATTACTATTGACAAGAAAAAGGTTACTTATTTATTTATTATTATTATTATTTACACAAAGCAGAAGACATGATGTACAAACTTATAGATTTAACAGGTTATAGATTTAACAAGTTTCTTCCCAGAAGCTGTTTGCTAGGTGTATCAGAACTAAAAAAGGCCTTTTAAGTATCTGAGAAATAAAAAAAAAAAAAAAGTATCTGAGAAATAAAACTATGAATAACATTTAGTGTTTTTAGTAATGTATGTCCTTAAAATAACAGCTTTTAAGTCTGGGTATGGAGACACAAACCAGTCATCCCAGTGCCGGGAGGTGGAAACAGGAAGATCAGCACATACCAAGCAGGAAGTCAGTTTTTGAGACCCTGTTGTTGTGAAATATTATTTTAAATTGTGTTGCATTTGTTCATGCTGTGGAATATTTGTTTAATGATGCAAATATGTTTTGCATTCTTTCATGTTACATTTGTTTAACTCCCTGAAGCTGTGTTACCTTGCCTGTCTAAAACACCTGATTCAATAAAGAGTTGAATGGCTAATAGTAAGGCAGGAAAAAGGATAGGCAGGGCTGGCAGACAGAAAGAATAAATAGGAGGAGAAAATCTAGGAGGAGAGGGCAGAGAGGCAAAGGAGGAGGACATCAGCTACACAGCAAGCCATGGAGTAAAAAGTAAAGGAAGGTATACAGAAATAGAGAAAGCTAAAAGCCTAGAAACGAGATAGGATAATTTAATAAAGGATGACTAGAAATAAGCCAAGCTAAAGCTGAGCATTTGTAAGTAAGAATAAGACTCTGTGTGTATTTATTTGGGAGCTAAGTGGCAGGCCTCCTAAAGACCAAAGAGTAAAAACACCAAGAACACCGTATCTTTAAAAAAAGAATCACTACATACAAATAAACACACACACATACAAAAGATAAACGAGAGACTTTCACATGTACTTATTCTAACCTGTCTGAGAAGTTGCGGGCAATGCACTGGGCAGTGCATTTGTTAGGAGACATCCTGAGGGAAGAAGGCCGCTGCCCAGGTTTTTTCCTGCAGGAGTCATGGTGCCAGTGTCACAGCCCAGCATGGAGTTTGAGGCACTCTTCAGAGCGTGGGCTCCACTGCAGGGTAAGGAGCAGAGCATTACACACTAGGAATGCAAATACAGTCTCGCAGTTCTTCAGATTAAAAAACTATAAAACAAATTCTGTCTTAAAAATTAACTTCACCAGGCACTGGTGGCACTCGCCTTTAATCCCAGCACTCGAGAGGCAGGTGGATCTCTGTGAGTTCTACAGAGCTACTACCAGGACACCAAAGTCTATTACACAAAAAAACCCTGTCTCAAAAAAACCAAAACAATAAAAAAAATTAATTCCTAGGGCAGGTGACGTGGCTCAGCAGGCACCTGCCACTGAGCCTGAAGGTGAAGATGGTGGGTGGAAAACCAACCAAAACCTCAAGTCATCCTCTGACCTCTCCATGTGCACTGTAGAATATACACCCCCAAGAAATAGAATAAAAATTTTTTCAAAAAATTCCAATTTCTAGGCTAAGTTTCATTTTAGTGCTAAAGTGTGACAAGCCTGGCTTACATAATGAACACATCCTTAGACATTTCAGAGTGAGGAGAAGTAAAGCCCTGCCCTAGTGATTCAAAGACAATAACAACAGACAAATGACAAAACCTGGGCAACTGTGAAATACACCTGTGTGTAGGTAATAGTTTGTTACTAAATTATACTATTCACATGAAGCAGCTCCTAACTATATCAAAATACCATCTTTCAGTGTAATGATGTAAAAATTTGTTCTTAATCTCACAAATAAAACAGTCTTTAACATTGTCAACTTACCCAGCAGAGCTCACTACACTGACGGAGTTAAGCCCAGCAGAGTCAGCCATGACCGGGGAGACCGTGCTTCCTGTTGTTATAGATGTTACCATGGTAGAAAGAGGAATGGTTGTCACAGGCATTGCCTGGCTCAGAGCCCTTTGCTGCTGAGCAAACTGAGTGAACAAAGTGGGCTGAGGGGTGAAGCCTGAATCTTGGGGAGATGGGGTGGCTGAAGGGGTACTAGGAGTTGAGTTCTGAGCATCAGGAGGGTGTGGGGCCGATGAAGGGGTTGGTGTAGGAGTAGATGGCTTAGGAGTTCCAGATCCTGCTCATTGAGAAAAATAAAAATTGCTAGTTTGTTATAAATGGCCGGTCCTTTTTAAAATAAGGTTAATGGAATTTTACTTAGCACTGATAAATTTGTTCCAATTTTTTTTTTTAAAGCAGTGAACTGCAAGTGTTAACTCTCTACAAGATCCATGAGTGTTGCTACACTCAATTACAATTAAGGATGCAGTATATCACCTAAAACCCCACTCCAGATGCTATCACAGAAACAGTGGAAGGACACTTACACTCTACCACAACACCCACTGAAAAGTTAGTCTCCTACATGCTGTCTTTTGTCTACAAGGTTGAAAAGTTAATTTTTGTTATTTATGATTTCAATAGTTCAAGACTTCCTTAATACTGCTTACTTAGTTTAACTGAGATAAACTGAACATTTTTAGTAAGCTACACAAGGTTATCAGTTATATTTGGCACCAAGATATACATTTTAATTCCCAACATACCAAGTTTACCCTGACAAATTTACAAAGAGTAAAGCAAGTACTGTGTAGATAATACTGCATCTTTAACAGTAACTGTGTACTTCTGTTTAAATGTAGAATGTATAGAAAAATCTGTTGTGAATGAAGTATGCACAGTTTATCAACTTTAAAAAAATAAAAACAAAAAATGAAACCAAAAAAGTAAAGCAAAAGCTCTTGAGGTGTTTCCTTTTTAGCTTTCATGTCCTGCAGAAAGAAAGGAGAGAGATGTGAATGTCCAGAAGCTGTCGCCCACCCTGACTTAACACAACTGTGTGCAGCAGACCACCACAATCCACACCCACAACATGAGAAGTATGAAGAAGACTTTCAGAAGATGTATTTATTTTTCTTTGTGCAAAACAAGAAGGCAGAAAAATTACACCTTTTGAGCTATCAGGATGCAGATGTTAAAACTAGGACCATCCTAGCACTGTGCAGTACACTGACAGCACACATTAGCAACCAAGCAAAAAAAAACAAAAAAAAAAAACAAAAAAAAAACCCAAAAACAAAAAAGCTAAAAAACTGGAATCTCCCCCAAATTAGTACCTAATATATTCAGATAGTCATTTGAGGAAATTCTCCCATATTAAACCTAGCACTCCTATATTGCCTCTACTTGTTGTTAAAAAGGGTATCCAAAAGTGAGAATTCTACTTTCCTATGTTCAGATGATCACATTTTAGTGACAGCTTGCAAAAGTGTGGAAGTGCATGCTCTCAAATACTACTCTTCAGTTTATTGCGTATAATCTTGGAACCTGCTGGTGTCTTACACATACAAAGGTAGTACCTCCAATAATTCACTCTCACATTTTCTTTTTGGTATCAGCCACAGTTTATATAGTAAGAAAAAGATACTAGGGGGCACTGAAAATAATACTCTGCAACCTTATTGCCAAGTAATTTTTAAAGAAGATAACAAGCTTATAGGCAACAAGCCTGAAAGAAAGGTATACACTGAGTGCATACATAGATACAGAAAAGCAAATATAATTACATTAAACATGTAATATACACAGCTAACAAGAATTCTACCTGGAGTTTCATGCAACTTATACATTTCGGGTACACAGTGCATTCTGACTTCACCATTCACAGATTGAATAAAAGCTGCCTTCAAGAAACTCTACTGCAAAGCTTTATGAAAATTTTTGCAAGAGTTTAAATCATGACTCACTCTGTGAAGAGCTGGCAGGTGACAGGGCGGCAGGAGAAAGCATGCTGACTTGACTGAGCTCCACAGATGATTTTCGAGAGAGACTTGGCTTAGATGACGGAGGAGGAGTTGGAGACTTAAGGAAGCTGCTGGCCTGTTGTGCTGTAAAATAGTTACCTGGAAGAACAAAAGTTATTTCCTAGGGCTGGAAAGATGGCTCAGAGCACTTGCTAAGCAATCTTAAAGACCAAAGTTCAGACCCCACCACACACCCAAGCCAGCTACCTACAGAAGCAAAGGTATATATATATGCATGAACACACACACAAATAAAATTAAGTCTTTTCCTATATTCATAATTCAAAAATTCTGTGAATTACCAGAGTAAAGTAAGTAACATTTTAGGAAAGAGGTGACTATTAGGTAATATAATCGAGGATAATACCTGAGGAACTATTTCCTGAGCTTGAGGGAAGTTTGATGGGTGGGGGTCGATGTTTTACTCCCTTCCCCAAAACTGAAGACTGAACAGACACCGTCTCAGGCTGCTGAGGAGTGACATTAAACACAACTGTTAATATTAAAGCTAGAATCATTATAATTTCCACATGAAAACAAGTTACAACAGCAAAGTACTCAGTATGAGAACTGCCTCAGTTTCCCATGACATCCACAGACTGTAACATACGTGATGATATGATATGAGACCCAAGAAAAAACAGAAAGTGAAGAAAATCTGTCACCCCTGTCTACCTTCCTTTAACAGGAATAACAGCTTGTACCTATCACTGAGTACTTTTGAAGCTTTCAACCATAAAGCTGAATTATTAAAAAGTTAAAAGTAAAAGCAACTCTTTTGCCCTTCACATTTCTCAGGCTCCTTGAGAAACAAGGCACAAGGCACCACTGGTGTGAACGTACCTCTGTTTCCTCTCCTGGATTGAGACTGGCTGAACCACTAGAGCTATGTGACATCTTCACTGGGCATTTGGCTTCGTTCTGGACCAACTCCTGGTACTGATTGACTACCCTGAAATATTAGGAAAAAATAGGTAAGGATTACCCAAATTTGTCTTGAAGACAAATCATACAGAAAATAAGTAATGTTATTACTGGAAAATAAGTCCCACCAGACTTAATAGAAAAATCAAAATGAGGCACTCCACCGAGTTACAAGCGTTCCCTAATTGTCCAACCACAAGTGCCGCGAAAAAACGGGGGCCTAAAAATGAATTCTCATCAGTTATGTACCACAGATCTACTGTTCCATAGGAGAAAGGCAATTAGTCTGGTCAAGAGTTCAAGGCCAGACTGAGCTACATGAGGAAATCCTGTTTTAAAAAGTGTATTTTGGGCTATGGAGCCGGATAAAGGTGCTTGCCACCAAGCCTTACAAAAACCTGTGTTTACTCCCCTGAACCTACACGGTGGAAGGAGAATCAACTCCTGCACACTAGCCGGCTGCACAGTGACAACACAAGTTCACACACTAAATAAATGGAATGATTCTAATCTTTCAAATGACAAAGTAATGTTTAAATCTTTTCTGCTAATCAAGATAAAGGCATATAAAGGCAACTTTTAAGATCTTACTTCAAATATAGAAATTATAAAGGTAACTATAAATTTAATATCATCCTTGATTACAATATAAATAAACCAAAAAACAGAAAATAAAATTTTCATTCCCTTCCCTTAGACTTGGATTATAAAGTTCCCCCTTAAAATCGTCTTTCTCAGATGTCTAAATTTTCTTACCTAAAACAAACTGTACTTTAAACATGGTCTTTATTTTCTTAATTCGATGAAAAAACATCCAGGGTATTAAAATACCATGAAAATGGCCTATGAGATTTTAATATTAAGTGATTTAACCCACGACCTAAGAGTACGTGAGGTGATGTTCAGTGACACGTGTAACAGAATCGACATCTGTGACTCAGACACAGAACACTCGACCCACAAAGATGCAGTCACATCCAGTCTGACCAACTAAAGAGGCAAATGCACTTTACCTCTCCGCGTCAGTCTTGGACCCAATGATGAACCTAAAAGGTCACCAAGAAAAAGAAGTATTAGTAAGAATGTCTTAAAACATCTTAGGTTAACCTTTATAAAGTCTTTAATACATAGTAATGTATCATTTCATTAAAAAATTAATTAAACTTGAGAAATAACACTCAAGTTTTACATTCATCCTAAAATAATCATTTTGGCTGATTTGCCTTAGGAGAAATTTAATGTTTATTTATTATTATACAATCTGGAATAAAATTACCAAGTACCACTATACACATTTACAAACACTGTACTTACTACTACAGAAAGGCCTGTGGCTTTCCATTCATTTAATTTGACTCTAGAAGTCACTCTTACAATTATTTTAGACAAGGATGAAAGCTTATTCCCTACTCAAACAAAAATCTTGTCTAAGCTTTTTTTTTAAATTTTGACATTACAACATACAAAAACAAGTGAGTCTTATTTTTTAATTACCAATTTGAATGATCATCTGCAGAGGAGCTGTAATATAAAACATAAAGAAAAGCACTCAGTCAGGGCAAGCCAAACTTAAGTTTCCCAGCTCTCAGGTTCTGAACATGGAAGGATGTGGATGAGCACAGAGCCTCCAGAATAACGGCAGAGATAGCAGTTGTCTCCTGAAAGCAGTTCCCAGAGATGGAAACTGAATTTTCACACAGGAGTAGCGACTGTGTCATCATATTATTGACATGCTGGCACATTTACAATGGTGGATGTGTCTTTAGTGGTAGAATCTCAGAAATATGCATAATCAAAACAGCTACTAGCTGTTAACTGAGGAATTGTTGCTTTTCTTCTTGCAGACTTTTACCTAGGTATGGGGTGAAATAACGCTAAAACCCATCATTCTTCACAAATTTCAAATCAATTTTAGTAAAAGTTTAAACAATTTGACATACAACTGACCTTGACAATTTTTCATTTTCCTGAACTCTTTTCCATTTTTTAAAACAGTATGAATGTGATTTAAAAAAAACAAAACGAACTAATAATAAAAGTAACCATACAATCCAAATTACCCCAGCCCTCAAGAAACAGATGTAGAGGCAAGCCAATCTCTGTGAGTGTGAGGCCAGCCTAGTCTCCGTAGCATGTTTCAATCCAGCCAGGGATACACAGGCCCTGCTCACACTCCCAACCACAGAATCAAAACTAAGTATTAGTATCCTGTACTTAAGATGTACCATTAAGAAAATCAACTACATAAACTGCCAACAACAAAATCCTAAGACTGTCCTTCAGAGCTACCACAAAAACAACTAGCTACACTTAAAAAAAAATGATTATGAATGACTTAGAGAACATAACAACTGCATTTTAACTTTATTCACATCCACTGTCAAAATATACTGTTATATAGAATAAATATCAAACCCCTAAAGGAAAATGGTATTTACTAGTTGACAGTTCCCTGGTAGTTCTAAGTAAGTTCTGGATGCCTCTGTGTGTTACATATACTCAACAGGACTCACTGGGATGGAGACATCTGACTGTCATTTTCTTCATCTGCTTTCCATGGCTGTATTTTACCATAGTACAGTGGATCACCAAGAGACTGCAAAATGGTCAGTTTTGTTTTCTGATACTGAGTACCACCTTCACATTCAAATACATAATCGTCTTTTACATCCTGAAAAGGACAGAGAAACCCAAATAGCATCTTCTCAAGTGGCAAGAAATAAAATAAATAAATAAATAAATAAATAAAACTGACTTATGTCTGGTATATACATGGCACTAAAGAAATATTTAAGGCAGTATAAAAACATCAAGTTCATGATGATTACACATGCTACTGAGTCATTCACTAGGAAATTGCTAAACATTTCTACAAGCATAATGAAAATCATAGCAAACATTAACTGAATATTGCCACAGCACTTAACAAGTGATATCCCACCCGACTGTCAAACACCACCAACTCATGGCTGGCATGGCCATTTCCACATCATAGGTAAAAGAATTGGTCGGGTATAGTGGCAAATGTCTGTAACTCCAGCACTTGGGAAACAGAGGCACGTGGATGTCTTTGAGTTCAAAAATCAGCCTGGACTACCCAGTGAGCTCCAGGCCACCAAGGACTATAAAGTAAGACCCTATCTCATAAATAATCAACAAACAATCAAATGGATGAATGAAAAGGAATTTCACAGTCCAAGCTGTGAAATAGAGAATTACTGCACAGGACCCTTTCTTCACACAGGTCTTTATGCTAAGTGTCCAATGCTGCATCTCATCAAGCCTGACAGACATGCACAGAGCTTCACACACTGCACATACAGCTGTAATTTTAACAATGTGAAAATAAAGTCTGAAGGTGGCAATGTTTTTGTCATTGGCCATTCATATAAAACATCCTGTGTCCATAAAACCTTATTACTTTGCCCCCATTATTCCAATTTCTCCCTTTAAGAAATAACTACAACGAAGCCTGGCACTGGTGGTGCACACCTTTAATCCCAGCACTGAGAGGAGGCAAAGGCAGCAAAATGGCAACAAGGGTGAGACCAGCTGATGAATATAGCAAACTTCCAGGCCAGCCTGGCCACACAGAGAACCATGTCTCAAACAAAGACATCTTTAACAGAACACACTAGTTTGAAACAAAAGAAAAATGAAAACCACCAACATGCATCAAAAACAAAAATGCAATTTTGTTTTCTCTAAGACAGTCTCACTATGTATCCCAGGATAATCTCAAATGCATCCTTTTCCAACAGGAGAGTCCCTAGTTATGTACTAGGCTTGACACTTATTTTGGTTTTTGAGTAGCTCCCATGTACTCCAGGCTGACTTCCAACTTGTAATTATGTTTCCTGCCTCTGCCTCCAAGAGCTGCCACTATAGGCATGGGCTATCATACCCCATTCATAAAAATTTATTGTTACATTAAAATTGCTCTGTAAAATGAAAAGCACACTTTAAAAAAATATTTTTCTTGAAGCCCACAAGAGCTCTAAATGTAGTTTTAAAAAGTTATACATTAGAAGTATTTTTCTGTTTAGTAAATTCAGAAACCTGTTTATAAACAATATTGTTAGCGAAACATGGTGGGGACACACCTGACACTTGGGCAATAAAGGCAAGAGGATCAGTATGTTCGAGGTCAGCCGTGGCTACATTGCAAATTAGGGGCTAATCTGTGCTACAAGAGACACTGTTTCCAAACAAAACAAAAAAGAAAATAAACAAGAAAACTGCATTATTAATGAAAAAAAAAACTAGCCTAATTACTTACATGGGCCGGCCAGACTGTTGGTTGAGAGTCATCAGATTTGATGGATTTTTCCACTTTAGCATATTTCTCCACCTAAATGATAAAGACATGAAAGAAAATGGAATCAGTATCTGAACCAAGAGAAGAACCTGCAAAATTCAATAAGAACAGAGTGAGCATAAGGGTTTTAACTACCAGTATCACCGAACACTTGTATTTAATGATGTGTTTAATTAAAGGTCTAGTATGTGGAGCTACAAATGATTAAGCAGTTAAGAGCACTACCTGCCTGAGGGCCACAAGTGACACAAGAAGACAGTATGGCTTCTTTGTTGGTTTGTAGACATAGTCTATTAATGCCTTTGGCCTTGTGTTTCAATTGTTATAATAATAATAATACAAAAAGCATTATTGAAATAAATAACTTTGAAATATGAATCATACTAAATTGAGTAAGGGCTGGTGAGATGGCTTAGCAGATAAAGGTGCTTGCTACTGAAACTGAAGACTGAAATTCTGAATTTGATGCCTAGGAGCAATGTGGTAGAAGCAAAGAATAAACTATGATCTTCCACACACGTTATGGTATGCACATGCACACACATACACAAAGTACGTATATAAAAGATAACTGAGTAAATAATAAAAATAAACTCTAAAAGACACAGGAAATGAAATAAAATGCTGTTCTTCATTAACACCCCTAGCCACTTAGAATTTGTGTGTCTTTAAGATTATCAGTAAAGAATAGCGCTGGGAGTTCCTAATTTCAGCCAGGGCTCTAATATTACTAATCTTTAAACGTTACCAGTTTAAATACATAAGCATTATGAGTTAATTATGAAGAAATACTACAGAAGGACACTAGACCATTTCCTGAGCATTGCATTATATAAAATATGCCACACTCTTTTGAAACTTTATCATTATTCCTGCTCCTAAAACAGAACTCTAAATGTCCTTATGAAAATGAGGCTGTATTGGTGGCCCCTCTCAGAATGTCTTGAGCTGGGAAACTGACTAAGAGCAGGATCATCCCACATTTGAGGACAGCCTGGGCTAAACAGCAAGACCCAAGTTCAGAAACACAACAAACTTACATGACTGATGTAAACACACAGCTTCTTAAAACGAGACTTTCAAAAGCAAGTTTTCTGGTTTATTTTCTCACAGCATTAGCTACCTAATGAACTTTGGCCCTGTGCTAGAGGGCAGCACTCACGTCTACTTCAGAAGGCACAGCCAGGTTACAGGGGCTCCGTTTCCACATGTCCACACACTGAAAGTTTAAAGCAGTATAATTACACCAAAAAACGTAAAACAAAGCTAGCCTGTCACAACAGTGAGCTCTTGAAGAACTACTTACATTTCCTGCTTTAGAGATCTTGAGGTCATAATGCTGACCTGCTTTCCTTTCCTTCCGTTTTTGTAAGAAATCAAGTAATCTCAGCTGAGGAGGAGGAGGACAATGAGACAGGTCCTGCTGCCGGTTCAGGGAAGACCTGGAATACCTCTTCAAACACCTACACAAATTAGAACACACAAAACAACTCATAATCTATGTGGGAAAGCAGCAGCGTGAATTAATTATAGATTAAATCACAAACACCTGTATAACATTCTCACACCAGCAAGCTTTAGGCACAGGAGAAACAAAAAAAACAAGACAAAATTCTCCTGACCGTGTAGCCAAGCTGATTAAATCCCAAAATGGAGAGGCAGTCATTATAAATTAATCTCTAAGACAGGCAGTAGTGGTGGTGGCACACGCCTTTAATCCCAACACTTGGGAGGCAGAGGCAGGTGGACCTATGTGAGTTCGAGAGCAGCCTGGTCTACAAGAGCTAGTTCCAGGACAGGCTCCAAAGCTATAGAGAAACCCTGTCTCGGAAAAACAAAACAACAATAATAACAACAAAAAACTCTCTAAAACTGCGATTGTATTTTCTTGAAACTTGAAAGTTACATTCTGTTTCCTTGCAGTTTCCAATTAGTGTTGTGAAAGAATGAAGCCACTGTCTTTCTGCTCCTATCTCATCTTTTCTTAGCTTCACAAGCTTTGTCAACAGACTATAATTTACAGAAGTTCCTTCGTTAAAAGACTGCAGACAATACTAATTTACAATAATCCAGGGAATATTTTTTAAAAATTCTACAACACAAAATCATAATACAAGGCCATTAAAAATCCCATTTTCAAATTTAAAAGTGCAGCAGTGCCATGCTGATGGAAGGGGCACGGTGGCTAGCAACATTTAAGAGCCTGTGTCACATAGTGCAGCAATTACCGTTTCATTGGGCGAGTGTTCATTTTTTGCCGGTTATAGAGCAGCCTATTTGCAGTACAAGCTACTGCCACAGACGGGTCAAGACACAGTGGTTCTGCTGTAGCTAGAATCAGTTGGCTCTCAAGCAAAAGTTTGTCTTCCTGAAATACACAGGAATATATGTCAGCTTCAAATACATTTTTGATAATGTTTACAAATATACATCATTTAATCCAGAAATATTCCTTGGATGTTTGCTAAAGATTAAAGTAACTGTAGTAACTCATTTGCACATTAATGTGTAAACCTGCCAAGATAAACAAACTTCTAATGAAAATTCAGTTATTTGTATACTGTATAAAATAGTCAAATTCAAAGAGTTGAATATTTATTTGGCTGCCTAAAATACAGTTTGTTGGGGACACAGTAGAATTATATTCTCCCTTTGTTTACCAGTCCTCAGCTTAAGAAACTGATGCTTTACTGTTCCCCACCACTGACTGCAAGTCTTTCTTTGATTTGAAGAACTTTCCACCTTCTTATAGATGGGAAAAATCACAGCCCAGACTAAAGCTCATCATAGTTCTTAAGCACATTTCATAGAGGGCTATTTCACTGCTGACATTTTTCTCTTCACAGTAATAGATAAACAAGAGACAGAACTGGAGGATCAATTAGCTGTTGTCATTGCTAAGAAATCCTGTTACCAGGTATGGTGATATAGATCTTTACTCTCAGAATTCAGGAAGCTGAGGCAGCAAAATCTCAAGTTCCAAGCCAGCCTGAGCTAGATATCTTACCTCAAAAAGAAAAAGAAAAGGAAGATAGGGAGAAAGGAAAGAAGGGAGGGAGGGAGAAAAGATAGGCTTCTTGTAGAATTTTAGAATCCTGAACGAAAGAAAAATCACAATCCATCTGTATTCAATGGTAAGAATAAAGCTTTTGTTTGATAGGAATAGCCGGACGATGGTGGCACAAACCTTTAAACCCAGCACTTAGGAGACAGAGGCAGGGGGATCTCTGTGAGTCTGAGCTCAAGCCTGGCCTATAGAGGGAGTTCCAGGACAGCCAAGATTGTTATATTAAAACAAAAACAACACAAACAAAATCAAAACAAAACAAATTTCACATTAGGCTTCATAAATTAACTTAAGCGTAGTTTATCAGCAAGGATGGAAGCAATTTGGGACTGCATTATAAAGTTCCTTGAGAGATTTCCAAATGTACAGAGACTTTAAAATCCTAAAGCTCCTAAGGGAATCTTGGTTTTGTCCAAATGTCCAACCCAACAAACCAATCAAATGTGAGTAAAAGGAAGCCTCTCACTAATGCTTCACACTGTTGGGGGTCTACCTGGGATTAGAGAGAGAACTAACCTGGGTCCATTTATGGTTGTCACTTGTTATAGAATGAACATCACAAACTAAAGTCTGGAAGAAACAAAACATTTTAAAACATGTATGTTCATACAAATATATGGACATTAAACAAAAATCCAACTAAAACAACACCCAGTACTTCCTAAGTAAACATTCCATACCTGCATTGTTGGACGTAAGAGAATGTGCCTGCTTTGGTAACCAGGAGACTTCATATTACTGGACTGCCTATAGTCACGTATTTCTGCTATCACACATCCACAATGAAAAATATTAACCTGTTTTAAGTAAAAAGAAAAAAAATTCAGTAAATGTCATTTTCCAAAAGTCAAAATAAGCAAAATTATACTGAATGTTTCAATCTTAAAATTCTATACCTTCAATAGATATCTTAGTGGATACACCACTATATAAACTACTAAACAGGATCATTTATTTTTATGTGCATCATTATAGAAAGCAATTTAAAACTGTTAATAGTAGATTGACTTAATCTACTGACATCCAGGATGGCTTTTGCATTCACCTGTGACAGACATTACTGCAGTTCTTTTAAGAAGGAGGTTCTTCCAAACAAGTGGAAGACTTGTATGACAAGAACTTTAAATCTTTGAAGAAAAAAATTGAAGAAGACACCAGAAAGTGGAAAGATCTCCCATGCTCTTGGGTAGGAAGAATTAGCATAGTAAAAATGGCAATGTTACCAAAAGCAATCTACAGATTCAATGCGATGCCCATCAAAATCCCAGCAAAATTCTTCAAAGACCTTGAAAAAATGATACTCAACTTCATATGGAAAAGCAAAAGACCCAGGATAGCCAAAACAATCCTGTAGAATAAGAGAACTTCTGGAGGCATCACAGTCCCTTACTTCAAACTCTACTACAGAGCTACAGTACTGAAAACAGCCTGGTACTGGCATAAGAACAGACAGGAGGACCAATGGAACCGAATAGAAGAACCAGATATCAATTCACACATCTTCAAACACCTGATTTTTGAGAAGTAAACAAAAAATATCTAATGGAAAAAAGAAAGCATATTTAACAAGTGGTGCTGGCATAACTGAATATCAACATGTAGAAGAATGAAAATAGACCCATATCTATCACCATGCACAAAACTCAAGTCCAAATGGATCAAAGACCTCAACATAAAGCCAGCCACACTGAAACTTATAGAAGAGAAAGTGGGAAGTACACTTGAATGCACTGACACAGGGATCCACTTCCTAAATATAACCCTACCAGCACAGACATTAAGGGCAACATTGAATAAATGGGACCTCCTGAAACTGAAAAGCTTCTGTAAAGCAAAGGACACAGTCAACATGACAAAATGACAGCCTACAGAATGGGAAAAGATCTTCACCAATCTCACATCAGACAAAGGTCTGATCTCCAAAATATAAAAAGAACTCAAGAAATTGGACACCAAAAGAACACATAATCCAATAAAAAAAAATGGAGTACAGACCTAAACTAAGAACTCTCAACAAAGGAATCTAAATGGCTGAAAGACACTTAAGGAAATGTTCAACATCCTTAGTCATCAGAGAAATGCAAATCAAAACAACTCTGAGATTCCATTTTACACCTGAAAGAATGGCCAAGATCAAAAATACTGATGACAACTTATGCTGGAGAGATTGTGGGGAAAAGGGAACACTCCTCCATTGCTGGTGGGAGTGCAAGCTGGTACAGCCCCTTTGGATGTCAGTGTGGCGATTTCTCAGAAAATTAGGAAACAACCTTCCTCAAGACCCAATAGCTGGAGAGATGGCTTAGTGGTTAAGGACATTGCCTGCTCTTCCAAAGGTCCTGAGTTCAATTCCCAGCAACCACATGGTGGCGCCCTCTTCTGGCCTCAGGCACATACACAGACAGAATATTGTATATATAATAAACAAATATTTAAAAAAAAAAAAAAAAGCCGGGCGGTGGTGGCGCACACCTTTAATCCCAGCACTCGGGAGGCAGAGGCAGGCGGATCTCTGTGAGTTCGAGACCAGCTTGGTCTACAGAGCTAGTTCCAGGACAGGCTCCAAAGCCGCGGAGAAACCCTGTCTCGAAAAACCAAAAAAAAAAAAAAAAAAAAAAAAAAAAAAAAAAGACCCAATAATTTCACTATTGGGTATATAACCAAATGATGCTCAATCGTGCCACAAGGACATGTGCTCATCTATGTTCATAGCAGCTTTGTTTGTCATAGCCAGAACCTGGAAATAACCTAAATGCCCCTCGACCAAAGAATGGATAAGAAAAATGTGGTTCACTTTCAGAATGGAGTACTATACAGCAGAAAAAAATAATGACATCTTGAATTTTGCAGGAAAATGGAGTTAGAAAACATAATTTTGGGTGAGGTAACATAGAAAGACAATTATCACATGTACTCACTTATAAAGCAAAGAAAGACAGCCTACAAACCACAATCCCAGAGAACTTAGACAACAATGCAGACACTAAGAGACACTTACATAGATCTAATCTACATGGGAAGCAGAAAAGTAGAAAAAGACAAGATATCCTGAGTAAATTGGGAGCATGGGGACCTTGGGGGGGATTGAAGGTGGGAGGGGAGAAGTAGGAGGGGAGCAGAGAAAAATGCAGAGCTCAATAAATATCAATAAAAAAAAAAGAATGAGGTTATTCTGAAGCTTGTTGGCTCATTATTTCACTGTAATGGTTATATAGTTTGTCACTGCAATACACTGTCAATCAACTGTGCCAGAATTTCAGCTTCTGGATCTAACTTCCATATTTCCTTTCCTAAATTTTCTAGACTTTTTGGCTGTATTAGTAAGAAGGAAATAACCATGAATTTAACTCACATCTATGTTGTATTGCAAGTTTAAGAAACCTAAGTACTCAGAGTTCACTATGATTTGCCTACTCCCTCATCGTATGTCCAGGCACTTTATACCATTACAGTTATCTGTGCTCAAATACAAATTGATAAATATAACTGATATATCTATAAACAAAACCCTAATAGTCTTTATCTTAGGTCAACCAGGCTAATACTAATACCTGGACTAGGAATTATGAACCAGACTTAGCTTCCTTCCTTATGTGCATGCTTTCTTTAAAGCAATATATATTAATTCTTATCTATTAATCACGGTTTTAACAATAAATATTTAAAATATTACATTTGGTCAAAGCTGTATTTTTTATAACTTTGTTACTAACAACGAGAAGCTTAGTATAGCAATACCTTCCTAACTAATCACTACCATCCTTACAGCTTACATCCTTACAGCACGCGATTTGCTACCAAAGAACAACAACTAGCTGTATGTCTAGTTAGGATTAAATAAAGCAACCCTCTTTTAACCAATTCAGTTAAACACCTGGCTACTGGCAGTATCTTCATCTATCCAATAAATATTACCCAACAACAATACCTATGTAACTGCTCTCTCTGTAATCATTTTCCAATTTACTTAACTATCAAATCAACATGAAGCTGAAGATAGCCTTGAACTTCTGACTCTGACCAATGCTGGGATGAAAGGCATGTGCCTGGCTACACTGACATTTTCATAAGACAATTCCGATTCAAACAGCAAAGTGACTAACAATGCCATGCCATGAAATCAGTGACTTTACAAAATCATCTAAGAAATGCTTGTTACAATGCTAGATATGTGAGTGGACAAAGTGTGATAAAGAGATTGCAGACAAGTTTTCCAGGGCTTTTGTAGCGATAAGGAAAACTCCTATTTGACAGCTGAAAAAACAAGTGAGATCAGAAGGTTTTCAAGTTGTGAATACAGCATGTTTATATTGTGCATTTAGTGGAGGCATACGGTTGTAAGCCACCAAAAAGGGAAAGATCTAAAAGGGAAATGAGAATCAGGCCTTAGGAATAGGATTCATTCCTAAGAAAAGAAAAAGTGTGGAGAAAGACACAGGAAAGCTGGTCAACTGGTTCCACTAACACAAGAAGGAATGGGAGTCAGGTCAAGGCAGCAAGAAGAGTAAGCGAGTCACTTACAGGTCACTGTTTGTAAGTAAGCTTCATAAACAGTGGAAATTATTCTTTTATTAATTTCTTAATTTTAACCTTGGGAAATTTCCAGGATAATTACAGCAATTTTAGAAGCAATCAATCAGCACATGGCAGTGCAGCAATCAAGCACGCCACGACAAACCATTTTTAACGAGCACTGTGCAATGTCTCCTTTTATGCTCTCAACACTACTGATAATACCTGTGTGTACAGCAGCTCATGTTACAACTAGCACTCAAGGGCTGAGACAAGGACATCACCAGTTCACAAACTAGCCAGACAGGATACAAAAGAGCTCATATCTTAAAAAAACAAAACAAAACCACAACACAAAGGATATGTACATACTAAAATGTAACACACACACACAGAGACAATACAAAACATTTTTCTGGGGGATGAGTGTAGTTTAGCTGTAGACTGGTAGCCTAACATATATGGCCTTGAGTTCACTACCCAGTGCCAAAAAGAAGGGGGAAAAAGATATTTAATTTGTGTGGGTGTGTGGGTGCATATGAAATACAAACACACACGCACACACACATATATGTTTTAGAAATGGAGTTTTACTGTGTTGCCCAGGCCTGCCTCAGACTTCCTTAAGATGTTCCTGTTTCAGCCTTCTAAGCAGCTGGTATGTCACTTGTTACTATATACATGCTATTTTATTCAAACAGATATTTTGTTTTTTCTTTTTTACCTGTGATTTTTCAAGGAGATCAACCAAAATAGGAGGTAATTCTTCTGCATCTAAGTATTCAAGCAATTCTCCTTCTTCATAAGGCAATCGGATGGTCTCAGAATCTTAGTTTTAAAACAAAAGTTATGAAAACAGGCTCACAAAAGTAAGAATTGTGATTTAAATGACTTTTAAAAATAAAATACATAGAGCGTGAGAGATGGCTCAGTGCTTAAGAGCACTTGCCATTCTTGCAGAGGACTTGGGTTCTGTACCTAGATCCCACATGGCAGCTTATAGCTGACTGGAACTGTCAGCTCTGTGGGCACTGGCATTCATATGTACATACCTCCCCCCACACCAATTACATACATATACACATAATTAAAATTGATAAAATCTTAAAATACAGCTTAGAGGCTAAGTCTTATTAGTCAATTATACCACATTGCTGGAAAACTTGTTTACTACAAAAGATTTTAAACAAGAACAGGAAAATAAGCACTTCTGATCCTCCTGCCTCTACACACTGAGTGCTAGGATTACAGGACTTTGACATCACGTCTATGGGATGCTATGAACTAAACTCCAAGCTCTGTGCACACTGAGCAAGTATTCCACCAGTTAAACTATATTCTTATCCCCATAAATAAAATGCTTCATTAGCTAAGTTCCTTGTAGTGATCATATTGTTAAATTCAGAGATATCTCTTTAAATGAAATCTAAGTATATTTGTTGTAATGCTCTTCACATCCATAGTATGAGAATTCTTGTTAAAATTATTTTTAATGTTTACTATTTTTGACATCTCAATAAAATTATTCAACAGGCAATAAATGCTTAACTTTCCAGCTTTTATACTCACTATAAAGTGCAGTCAAAGTACCTTATGTTACCTTAAAATATAAATAGCAATAAAAAAATGCCATTGTTAAAAACCACCTGTTCAATAAAAAATAAACTATAAAGAAATAATCAGGCTGGCAAAATAGCTCAGTGGATAAAAGCACTTGGAGTCAAGACTGAAAACCTGAATTCTATCCCTGGGACTCGTATGCTAGAAGAAGAGAACTGACTTTTCTTCTTTTTAACTTTATTTATTTATATTTATTTATTATATTTATTATAGGTCATTCTGGGACTATAAGGATGCCATGATCCCCTCCCCACTAAATAATATCAAATAAAATAAAATAAAATATAAAAGAAGAGACAGGGCCTGGAGAGATGGCTCAGCAGTGAAGATCTCAGACTTATTTTCTACAGGACTTGTTTCAATTCCCAGCACCCACATGGTGACTAAAAGCCGTTTTTAACTTATTCATGGAATCCAACCTCTTCTGCCTCTGAAGGTACCAGGCATGCAATGCATGCAGGGCAAAACATCCATACACTTAAAACAAAAATAAATTAATCTAAAAAATTTAAAGATATACTATAAACTATAATACTTTTCAAATGTGAGTTCAGGAAGGATAATCTACACATTACAATGTTAAGCATTCTAGCAAAAGTCAAGAGGAGAAAAAAACAGAGGATAAGAATTTGTCTTTTAGTCAGGACAATCTCTGATTAAGGGTTAAAGAACTACCCTTAAAAGCAGAGATATTTTATGTAAAGTATACTTTGGAAGGCCTTACCTGATCCATTTTTCCCCCTGAGCATCAAAGAATACCCTTCATTTCCTGGATACAGATTGACCACTAAACATGACAAAGTTTCTTGCATAACAAGCTTCTCTAACAAGTTCACATTTCGTCTTAATTTCTGCTTTAAAAAGAAACAAAGTTCATTAAACAGTATAACCTTGAAAAACAATTCACTTCCTATCAGTTTTCCTTCCTTACTGCAATCCCAAACACTTGAGAACTGTTACAATTCACAGGACAGTAATGTCAACTAAATATTTATCCACTAGCAGGCTTTATGCAAATTAACTCACAGCATAAACTGGCTACGCATGGATGTGTACCTGTAGTATCAACATTTAGAAGAGGTCAAGGCAAAAGACTTGAATTCCAGGACAGCCTGGACCATGTTACATTGCAATACCACCTTTTAAACTAGTGATTCTCAACCTGTGAGTCACAACTTCTTGAGGGGGGAGGATAGAGGGACTGACCCTTTTTGGGGGAGTTGTCACCTAAGACCATTGGAAAACACAGACATTTACATTATGTTTCCTAAGAGTAGCAAAATTACAGTATGAAGTAGCAATGAAAAAAATTTTAGGGGCTGGTGAGATGGGTCAGCAGTTAAGAGCACTGACTGCTCTTCCAGAGGTCGTGAGTTAATTCCCAGAAACCACATGATGGCTCACAACCATCCACAGTGAGATTCTGGCCTGTAGGCACACATGTAGACAGAACACTGTATACTAAATAAATATAAATAAAGTTAAAAAAATTTAACAAAAAGAAAAAAATTTAAAGTTAGGGATCACCACAACATGAGGGAATATCAGCCATCAGGAAGGCTGAGAACTATTCTAAACAAACAACAAAAAGATGCATGGCAGCTAATGTCTCTAGGCCCAGCACGTGGCAGGCTAAGGCAAAAGAATCATCCCCACACTTGAAGGCTAGTCAGAGCTACACAGTGAGGCTCCATGTCAAAGACAGAAACAAACAAAAGAAAGAAAAAATAAGGAGGGAAAAAAAAATGAAACCTCTATAACCCAAACACTTAATACAGATATGAAGAGTTGGGAACCTCTTAAACTGCACAGCGATAAGGCCAAAATTGTTTAACAACTTATAATCTACTTAGACGTAAAGAAGTTCAGCAAGTCTAATTAGCTGAAATATTGAGCCTATAAAGAGCTAATTGGTAAAAGGAAGTCATTTAGACAGTTTTCTGTAAGTTCAATGCAACAGTACTAAAGAACCACCTGAACTGTTTTTTTAAATGCCTATTTCTAAATCCATACTAAAATGTTTTCTTAAAGCTGGGTGTGGTGGGACACACATTAATCCCATCACTCTAGAGGCAGGGGCATCTCAGTGAGTTCCACGCCAGCATAATAAAACTTGCATCTCAAACTACATACAATAAAGCTTTTCCTTAATAAATTCCAACTTTGCTTAAAAATGTTAATTTCTATTTATTATAATTATAGATACTTTTATGCTGAATTAAACCAGTTATGAGTTTAGTCTTTGACCAAATTCATTTTTTACTAATATACTTGAATCCTTCCTGTATGTGCAATCAAAATCTAAAAAAGTGGGTTACTGAAATACTAGCTCAAGTCTGCAAAAACAAATCTCAGAGGAAAATAACGGAAGACACATTGTGGCTTTGTTTATGATGTCCCATTACCCAGACCATCACTAACTCAGACAGATTAGCCAGGGAATGGAATTGGGTCAGTCAAAAAACTGAGTGGAGTCTGACTGAAAAAGATATTCAACTATGAAGATATAAATCACTAGCTGCTTCAAACATAATGGTCTACACTTCCCCCTTCTACTACAACTCCAAAGCCCAGTAATAAAGAGAATTTATATTTATTTACCTTAACCTCAGGTTCTTTTTCACATTCTTCAACATACAAGTCATACAGTTTTTGGAATATAGATTTTCTAGGAAAAAAAGTAATAAATATATAAGGTAAAAATCATGAAATGATTTTGCTTGTTTTTCATTAATTTAAATATTTCAGTTCTGTAATGAAACCTCATAGATAAGACTTAAATTAATATAGTACATTACCCCTGTATATATGACAAAATATTAATTTCAATGTTTCTACATCAATATGGCTGTTAATTCCTATATAATGCCAATTCAACATGGTAAAGGCATAAGTGTTACATTGTAGGGCTCAATCTAAGAATTCATAATATGTTCTGATCATCTCAGGACTATCAAAAATGCTTGAGATCTGCAATGTTTTGGATTTCTTTGGCTTTTGAAATAGAGGTTATAGGGCAGGCTCATATACGTTTACAGAAAGACAAAAGACAATTTTATATACTACTTTTTACTGTGACAGCATTTTAATTATAATCTGTCACATTAACTAGATATGAAAAGGTCCATTTGTGATATTCCATCATGAGTCCTACGTTCCAAATTTTGGAATATCTCACATTTCCAGGTCAAGGATGCCCAACCTGTCTGAAGAACTGACAGTATGTGAAATGCCTGGAAAGAAAATAGTAAGTGGTAGTTATCTCATTTCACGTATGCAAAGATGTTATCAATTAAATAATCATACCTTCCACTAGATAGGTATTTCCTTCTAGGAGGTCTCTGCCGAGCACTTTCAACAATATACTGAAAGAGAAGAGCTGGTCAAACACTTTGTATTCAGCTTTTACATGAACAACTATAGGTGTGCTTACATCTACAACAGGTCAGGCTGAAAAGCCCACTTAAGTCTCCTAGGCTCTGCATGTGTAAACTTACACCTTGTACACAGGCCATAATCAAAACTTAAATTCCACTATGACTCACCTAACATTTCAGTACAGTAAATTGCAATTTCACAGGAAAAATATATTCTAAATGTCTTATAGCTACATTTATTTTTAAATTGCACATCAGACTGCAACGGCCCATATTTTAAGATATTTTAGAGAAACAACTTTAGAAATTCTATGGTCTTGTTTAAATAACTTTACTTTATAGCTTAACAAGAATTTCACACGACTGATAATCCAGACATCATCCAGCTTCACATATGCACAGTAAAATTTTTTAGCACACTTAGTCTAAAATACTATATTCTCTTGAAGATTACAACAATTTCTTTCTCATGAAATTTCTTCAGTTACAATGAGTCATGTCTCACCTCCGCACGATCCAAAGCTTGCTCCAGAGCTTGCTGCTATAAAAAACAAATAGCATATTTGGCAATATTATTTTCAGAAAAAATGAATACGTACTTGACACTTTTCAGCAAGTGTTTGTTTCCCTCCCTGAAACAAGGACAATGCTTTATTTCTCTCCTCTATCCTCCAATGCATTACTGGGATTTTGTTTTGTTTTGCTTTTTATGACTGTTTTGGGTATTTGATCATTAAACAAATTTAAAAAATGCTAAAATGGCATCTACAGTCAGTATTTGGCAGCCTGACATGCCTGTATCACATATTCATATTCCCCTCAAATACTTACGTGTATCATTAATACACACACATAAAAGGTTAAGAGTCCCACAGTGAAAATTCCCACTTTTCTCTAACAGTAGAGATATAAACAGGCAAGACCTTCAGAGCAGGAAGATGATGCACATCACAACTCTATTCACTACGGAGGTTAGAGATGGGGCCACATCCTTAGTTCACTTTGTAGCCCAGCCTGGCATTTGACTCACAGGGACCTTAAGACCTGAGTATCCCAAGTACTGAGATTACAGGTGTGACAAACTAAATTTGTCTACATTTATTAATTTTAAAGCATGCAAGTAAAGGAGTTTGGGGAAATAGTTCCGAGTGCCAGCCACACAATCATGAAGACCAGAGTTTAATCTAGTTCAATCTCCAGAATCCACAGAAGCAAGCTAGACTGGCTGTCACACAGATGGGATCCCAGCGATGGGAAGTAGACCTCAGGGACCAGCCTGACCTACTCAGCCAGTTCTAGACCTAAGAGACTATCTGAAAATAAAAGGTGGACAGAGCTGGAGGAAGAATATTAAAGTTATTCTCATTTTCTTTACATACATATATACTCACCTGTGCAGAATATGTACAAAAACGATGCAAGAGGAAATTTAAAACACAAGAAACCCAACCCTCCTCCCAAATAATTTGCATTTATATCAACCTCCTTGCCAAAGATTTAGAAAAATGGAAAGGCAAAATCAACTTTTAATCCGTGTGATTCAGATGTGATAATCCTACCACTGATTGATAGGACACCAGCCATTTATTTTATAGACAATATTTTGACATGACTGCTAAGTTGAGTGTTTCTGTATACTATTATCTTTATGGAGCTAAAGGAAGAGAATACCTGTAAAATGCAAATTTTAGTATGCTGTGTCACAGCTTACCATTGCAGCGTAAGATACAGATCCAAAAAGAAGATAAAACTTAGACGTGTTGTGGAAGTGGAGTGGAAATCATGTCTTTCTCATATACTGCAAAAAACAAAAATGTAAGACTCTTAGCCTAAGACCACAAAAAGAAAGACTGTCATTATCAGGAAAATTCCTCAAGGCACATATATTTCTAACACATTTTAAAAACAAACCACAAGAAAACATTCAACCCCCCCCCCACACACACACACATACACACTGAGAAAAGCAGCTCATACTAAGAAGGGCTAACCGGTCTCAAAGTTCAAATCACTAACCCCACCACCAAATGTAGTACACTGAGAAAACACTGTCTTCTAAAATGGGGTTTCAAGCATCACTACAGGTCCCCTTTCCCTACACATTCTACAGCCTGCCCTCTGGCTTGGACAGCTATGTAGGTCACTTTACAAATCAGTTTTTAACCAAACCTGAAGCAAATCCAAAAGCAAAACAAAACAGAAACAAAAAAAACCTCAGTCCTACCTTGTCGCCCCCCCCCCTCGCAATGCTCTAGGCTACATTTCCCAGAAGGCTTTGAGCCTTTTCCTTAAGAAAAGGAGACGACTACTATACTATTCTTCCCCCGTCATTCGTACTTACCGCCACCTATCTATGCGACTCTGATCAATGCAAATTCCAGCAATGAAAAACCAAGATTTCATGTGCCAAACTCTTTTTCGGAGGGAAGGACCCCCAAAGCTTAGGTCAGTACAGGCTAAAGGAATATTATCCGGCAGTATTAATTTTTAAAAGCCTAAATGTGGATTCCAGAAATAATCTTTTTAAGAAGGACATTAATCCTATCTTTGCATTGCTAGAGGAAGCTTACGTTGAACTTATATGAAATCCTTCTGACCATGAAGCTATACTATGGACTTACAAGTGCAATTCGGTAGCTCAAATTAGTTTCTTTTTCTTACTAAATTAGAAGGGAGGGGTATTTTTAAACTATTTTATTGCACAGAAGAACGAGCATACACTTCGTGTTATCTCTTACATTCTGCTTGTAAATATATTCTGGGAGACCCCGTATGAAAACTATTATCAACATTATCGACAGCTCTTTATTTTATAGAGAACTCGATGCAGGCGACTCTCCCAAGTACCACAGACCTACGCAGACACCCTGTCCATTTCAATGTGTCACCTTAGGTTGTAGTTACTATTCCACCCTCCACCCCACTCACTCCCGCACCCATGGTTTCTTAAGCAAAGCGTTACGAATTGACTTGATGACAACACTCACGTACTTCCCCCTTAATGTTGATGTTAAGCTTACGCCAATCACTGTCCCCGTACTCGATGTAACTTAAGTCTGCGCTCCTCTAGCTTTTGCACTTGGCGTCCTCACTAGGGACTCTGATGGCGATAAAAGATGGCTTCCAGGGTAGCCATCCATCAGCTACACTGATTTCTCCGGTGAACTTGGGTCTCAACTGCCTGCTTCTTGCTTTTTTTTTTAGGTTTTTGTTTCTAACCCAGGCTTTACCCTCACAACGCCAACTCCACAGAGAAGCAGCCGGCTTTTCTTCAATCCTCCCCAGGGACCCCGCCCCCGAAGAAGCGCTCGGCCAAGCCCGGAGAGAGTTTTCGGGAATACCTGTGGCGGAGCCCGAAGGAGCAGCAGCAGCTGCAGCGCAGGCCGACCGGGCCGAGAGCAGCCGAGGGGCGTTCACGCAGGGCGGCCGCCGCCGAGCCCGCCCGAGCCGAGACTCTCCCAGACCCGGATCGACCTCCGCCCCGTCACCTCCGACCCCGGCAGCTCCGGGACACCTGACCCACACCCCGAGCCCGGCCGACCCGCCCACCTCCACCGCCCGCCGCGGCCTCCGGCCTCAGACCTGGCCTCAGGCCTGCCGTAACGCCTCCCCGAACCTCCAACCGCCACTTCCGGCGGCAGCGCTTCCGATTGGCGAGTTGAGCGTGGAAGGGGCGGGGCTTGAGGCTGTGCGAGGCCCGACGCGACTCTCACGCACACCTCCACCAGCGGGTTCCGGCGGCCGTTCTTCTGATTGGCGAGCTGAGCGGGGCGGGCGGGGTTGGAGGCGGGGCGGTGGCCGGAAGTTTTGGAATGGGCTGGGAGCGCTGGGGAGAGCCGCGGTTTTTCAATGGCTTTAGCGGAGCTTCAGGAGTGGGCGGGAGCCTGGAGCAAGTTCTCAGGCATGTTTGGGTGGCGCGGGAGCGCGTGGGTGTGAGTTTGGGGGTGCCAGCGAATTCCTTAGTATTTTTACACATTTTTGGTTTGTGTATGCACGCGGTGCCTGTGGAGCTCAGGAAATTCCTTAGTCCTTTTTACACCGTTTTCCTTAGCTTTTTTTACACCTATTTGGTGTGTGTGTGCGTGCGCTTGCAGAGCTTGTGGAGGTCACCGAACGTTTTTACGTCTGTGTGTGTGTATGTATGTGCACGCTTGCGGCGCCTTTATCAGTACTCCATCTCCCAATACCAACTTTATCTTAACCACACCAGAGTTGTCCTCTGACCTACACACACACACACACAAATAAATGCAATGTCAAAAGAGTAGAAGCAGTGTTTACTAAAAGCAACCCTGCAAATGTTAAAGTGAGTCGTGGTAAAGATTGGCATCTGCCTTCACCGGCCGCAGTCTCCTCCCTTTTCGCCGTTACAGTTGTTTTTGGGGACCCCCAGAATTGGGCCTCTGCCCTAGGACTCGACTACCATGTGCCCACACTTAATTCAGTTTTGTGGCAAAGAGTTCATTGTTTAAACAGATAACATAATTTTATCCACCCCTCTATTGGTGGGCATTTGGGTTGTTTTCTACCTTCGTGCTGCTGTGTTGAAGCTGCTGAAAACATTTAAGTACAAGTATTTGGGTCTCTGCACTATTGGACTCAAACGTTTGGCTCAGCTAGAACTCAGGAGACAGAATTGGTAGACCAGTTTTATTCAAAGCTAGCCCTTGACTTAGGTATGGTGGTTCATGCCTATAATCCCAGCACTCTGGAGGCTGTGTCAGGACAGCCACAAATCTAAGGCCTGTGTGTTGTGTAGTGACTTGCAGACTGGGTTGTATTACAGAACTAGACACTGCTTCAAACAAACAAACAAACAACAAAAAGCCACACCCAAGGACATATTTGTCATTAGAGGATTTTTGTCCCTGCTTCTAGGTGAGCATTGGTCTTGTGTCAGAAATCAAACAGCTTAATTCTGAAGCTGAAGCAAAAGAGCACAAAAGACTACATCACAGACAGGGTAGTTGGAAAGGGAGACGCTGGCAGACTGTTATTGCCCTGGTAGAATACATACACATTTTTTTTTTTGATTTTTCAAGACAGGGTTTCTCCGTAGTAGCTTTTGGTTCCTGTCCTGGAACTAGCTCTGTAGACCAGGCTGGCCTCGAACTCACAGAGATCCACCTGCCTCTGCCTCCCGAGTGCTGGGATTAAAGGCGTGCGCCACCACCGCCCGGCATACATACACATTTTATTCTGTGAGTGAGGACTTTATAGTCATGCTTTTTCTGGAAAGCGAGGGGACCATTAGCATTCTTGTACGTCATTGCTCCTGTTTCACAGGGTGCCTGTGTTCCGCCTGCATCGAGCTGGTGTTGCAATAAAGAGAGACCAAAGTTCCAGCATAAGCCCTCGACAGTGTTATATATAGTTAGTATTATACATGTGGCTCTGGCTGACCTGAAACTTAATGTACAGACCAGACTGGCCTCGAACTCACAGAAGTCCACCTCCCTCTGCCTCCTGGGTGCTGGATTGAAGCTTTTAAAGAGCAGCATCTAACAGTAACAGACAGAAAGCAGTTCTAACAGAGATCCACCCACTCTGGCCCTGAGTGTGCCTGTGACGCTGTCCTGAGTGCCCACACATTAGTGGGTGCTTAGTTGTGGAGTCGAAGGTGTGGCTTCCCTGCTCTAACCTGGGAAAATGATATTTTCTTGAGTTTCATTTTCTCCCTGTTCCCTAAGTCCTTCCTCCCTGTTTCCCTCCCTGTTACTGAGCTCCAGCCTCTCTCACTACAGGTGGGAAATGAAGACTGGGAGAGGCAGAGTATCACCTTCGTGTGTTGAGGCCCAGACTGAGTTGAAGATTGGCTGGAGGCCTTAATGGGATGTGGACATTTTGCCCTTGACCTATCCAGGGTCATGCCAGGAAAGGCCCATGGACTGGCACCAGGGCTTGAGGGGCTGTAGTCCAGAAACTGGCACTTGGCATCCACCATATGCATGTGGTCAAATGTTCCAGTCACTGAGATGTAAAGTGCTTGATTTGTTGTCCCAGAAAGTACCTTGCTACGGGCAAACGAGACATTCTGAGCACTCTGCAGTTCTGCTGTCTGATGCTCCTTACTAGTGTGTTTTCTGCTTCCCCGTTAGAGGATGTAAAAAGAGCTCTGCAGCTAATGAACTTGGTGCCCTGGGTCGTCATCCATTGCAGCCCTCCTGACCCCAGCTTCTGGTTCTTTCCATTTGTGAGCTCTTCCTTTCTCTTTCATACCTGGTCTTTTTCTTGGCACCTTGTCTGGAGCCCTAATGAAGCTGGTTCAGGTCCTTTGTAGATGCCAGGTTGTAACAGTAAGGGTAGATGCATGAGACCTTCTTTCCCGCCTGTTTCCACCTTGCAAGGTGCCCTCCACACTTCCTGTGCCCAGATCATCTTGTATTCTCTCTCTTAAATACTTTTGCTGAGCCCCTGGTGTGCACAAAATAAACTCTTCATCTTTGTTATTGTTGCGGATTATCCACCAGAGAAAACTCAGACACGGGGTTAAGCCAATAGAAAGTCTTTATTAACCAGCCAGGGACTACACTCAGTGTTCAGGATCTCAGTGTAGCTCCACCTTTTATCAGGCTTGGTTTTAAGCACAAAATCCATGTCCTGGACTGGCATACTTCAGTTAACAAGAACAATTAGCCAGAAATGAAACCACAGAAGCCAAAAGCAAGGCAAGTACATTCAGAGACTTTGCCAGAACTATGGATTTGGATGATCAGGTCTTTGATTTTGTTTTTGGTAGGCTGCACTGTCTCCATGCTGGCTTTATGGCCTGAATGGTAGGTGCTTCCATTATTGTGTCCGTGTTGCCTGCTAAGGTCTGGGCCCTGTTACAATAGGACATTAAGGCCCTGTATACTCTGGTCCCCTGTGATTCCTGCTGAGTCTTCCACAGTCGCTCCTTTTATACTCTGGCCTTTTGTTATATTAGCACCTTGTTACAAACCTGCTTTTTCTTTACTTTTTAGATGGGATCTCCCAGTAGCTGAAGATGCCCTTGAACTCCTGATCCTCCTGCCTCCAACTCTCAAATTGCTGTCACTTTAGAGATTTGCCATCTCACCTGGCCTCAGAGTTGATTTTTTTTAAATCAACAAGTTTGATTGGTTTCAAGGGTATTTCAGGTGGAACTGAATTTTACTGGTGGCTTCGCATTAGGAAAGTTACAGTGTCATTTTCCCTGTGTGACTGTGATAGTTTGAAAGAAAAGTCCCCTAAAGGAAGTGGCACTCTTAGGAGGTATGACTTTGTTGGAGTAGGTGTGGCCTTGTTAGAGGAAATGTGCCACTGTGCGGTGTGGGCTTTGAGGTCTCCTTTGCTCAAGCTATGCTCAGTGTGGTAAGTAGTTCACTTCCTGTCACCAATGGGCCAAGAACTCTCCACTCCTTCTCCAGTACCATGTCTGCCTGCATGCCTGTCATGCTTCTCGTCATGAAAATAATGGACTAAACCTCAGAAACTATAAGCCAACTGAATTAAATATTTCCTTTTATAGGAGTTGCCATAGTCATGGTGCCTCTTCACAGCAATAGAAACCATAACTAAGATAGTGACATTAAGTTATTTAATAGATTTAGTTATTAATTCTGTTTAGCCACTAGAGGTCAGAACTTCACTTTAAAATAAGTACTGCACCGGTTTTCATAACAGTTTCAACTTTTGGCTTATGAAGGGTTGGCACAAAAATCGGATTTTTGACAGTTCCGTCTGTTTGTCAGGGTTCTCTGGAGTAACAGAACTTAATGAATGATTCTCTCTATCTATAGAAAGGGGATCTATTAGAACAGCTTACAAGCTGTAGTCCCGCTAGTTCAACAATGGCTGTCTCTGAATGGAAGTTCTAAGAATCCAGAAGGCTGGGTGTCCCAGCAGGTCTCCAGTAGATGCTGGAATCCTGGAGAAGGCTCTAATGTTAGTGAAGGGATGGAATTGCTAGCAAGAAAAGAGTAAGCAGGCAAAGCAAAAGCTTCTTTCTTCCACGTCCTTATGTAGGCTTCCAGCAGAAGGTGTGCCCCAGATTAGAGGTGGGTTTTCCCAGCTCACAGATCTGGAGTGAAGGCGTGTCTGATATCTTAAAGATCCAGATTAGAAGTGGAACTTCCTATTACAGATTAACCTAAATGGTGCACGCCTTTGATCCCAACAAGGCAGAGGCAGGTGGATCTCTGTGAGTTTGCGGTCAACCTGGTCTACAGAGCGAGTTCTAGGACTGGCTCCATAGCTACTGAGAAACCCTGTCTCAAACAACAACAACAACAACAACAAAAGCATTCACAATTGTCTCCTCTATGTTGGGGTTTTAGTTTATTCCGGATGTTGTCATGGAATATTAGTTTAAGATGTGTTACATTCATTTATGCTGTGGAATATTTGTTTAATGATGCAAAGATGTGTTGCATTCTTTTAAGTTACATGTGTTTAACTCTATAAAACTGTTACTGTGCTTGTCTAAAACTCCTGATTGATCTAATAAAGGGCTTAACATCCAGTAGCTACACAGGAGAGAGAAATAGGCAGGATTGGCAAGCAGAGAAAATAAATAGGAGGAGAAATCTAGGGAAGGGGGAGGAGTGAGAAAAGGAGGAGAGGAGGATGCTAGGGGCCAGCCACCTAGCCACACAGCC